AACAAAAATAATTTTAGTAATGTTCTCTTCAATAGAAAACATTTTTTCCATGTAAAAAAATCATACAATTTATGAGTCAGTAGTATCACTACTAGTTTATCAGAATTTTTTCTCTTCACTCTCTGTAAGATTTTTTAAGAAAAAATATCATTGAAAAATATAACATACGTTACTTTTTTATGTCAAGTTAATTATTTTGCATTCAAGTTCTGTAATTTTGTTATTGGACAGAGTTGGACACAGTTCAACAAAAAAGTTAGGTAAATTTAATAAAAAAGTAATTTCTATTAAAATTTAAAACTTCTCAGTACTAACAGAAGTGCACAATGCATCAGTTAAGAATCGTCTACGAAATAAACATAATCAAATCACATTGCATTACTCCAACTTTTGTACAGTAAAATAGCCAATCACAGTAAACACAGATAATCAGCTTAATTTTGCAAATAGACTGGGACGGTGGCGTCGTCCTGTAATTCAGCTACTAGAAGGTCACGAATTGTGGATATTTATAGGGATGCACTGTGGATGCGATGCTCCCTGGTGTGGATTACCATCCGCACTTGTGAGTACTACGACTATCCGCAGTACTATCCTAATAATTAGACCAATTCGTTAATTACAAGCAAAAAATGTGGTTATTCCATTATAAACTGTAGGTCCCTTGATTGCTATTGGCTGTATGGGCTATTAATTATCAGCTGTGTCTAAGGAACATGTCGGCCTTAGTCACTAATTGTTAGTAACAAGACTACAAGATCGCGCCACTCATCCTACACTCATCCTTCAATCATATTTGGGTTAAAATACGCACATAGTGGCGTCCCCATGTTAAATAATTGATATAATTGAATAGGGATGTAAATTAATTTATAGACGTATAATATGAACCCATGAAGGGAGTATAACATAGTTCCTGTACTACGATTTAACCCTCTGTTTTGATTAACTTGTAAAAAAGTCAAGGATTTATTTACATAGAGCACAAGGGTCTAGGTTTTAGGATTTGTTGTGAGGATAACAGGCTTACCTGAATGGGAACTAGTCCTAACTGGCTCAAGAGACACAAAAATGTACACTAAATGTTAAAAAAAATATCAGAATATTTCACCGTCACTGACAGCATTTGAGTTGTTCAGACATCTATTCATGTAAGCCTGCTATCCTCACAAAAAATCCTTGTAAATATGTGTTTAGATACATAATAATTATTTATTCAATATCTTTTTCCTGAATGTCTACTATTTAGATTGGCACTTAAGAGTTCTAATTTCTCCTACCTTTTATGGAGTTTTCTAACTCATGTTTGTTTTACCTTTGGATCACTGATAAATATTGAATATAGTATACCTGTTTATGGTTAATCTACAGAATGTACTCAGCAACCATCCTCAGGCTGTACCCAAGTATCACAAGGTGTGTGTCTTTATGGTTTGCAGTTTTTACTGAGCGTTTGTATTGTATTTGTGTGTATTGTATAGTGATGTACTATTTTGGGGTTTGAGGAAACTTACAGGAACCAGCTGGAGATGAAAACGTATACTTCTGGACACTTTTATCATCAAACTGTTACTTAGTGCAATTTGTAAATTATTATAAGCACAATGATATTTACTTACACCATTTTCAATTTTTTCATATTCAACTCCCCAAATACCAACCTTAATCCAAAAACCCTTGCATGTTCTGATAACACCACATTCCATGTATATAATGATGTAATTTTAATGTACAAAATACATAATGTATGTTTCCCATGTTATTGTTGTGTTATTTTTAGTTTTAGATCCACATTTTGGTTTAATTGTTTAATCGTCCTTAATTCATTTGATGCCATTAAAATATTATTTTTTAAATATAGTATTGTACTTTTATGTATTAATAACAATGGTTCTTTTGTAAAAAAGGCATCTTATAAAATCTTATTTATAAATTAATGACCGATGTAAATGAGTCTGTCTGAAAGCGTAATTTTATTGGATCCAGTGAATCGGTGTTTACCCAACTTGTGGTATGCATACCTCTTGTGATTCATAAAAGCAATTGCTTCGGCACGTGGTTACGATCTGAGTACAGTATTATATTTCACACCTATATGTCAGGATGTGTTCATGGCTCACTAACATCTCAGTAGCCTGTAGAAAACAGGACATTAGAATGTGGATTATTTTGTTTGTTTAATGTGATAAATAAACAGTATCAGCAATCTGACACACTTTCTCCCATTTGCTTTTCAACAACCTTTATCATGAGTAAGTAAGTGGTGGGACTAACTATGATATTTTTTAGGAAAAATCACAAAGGTTGCAACATTTGAACCGTATTTCTACAGTGATTGGGGTTACATTATTTTCTTTGGAATTATAAGGACCATAACACACTAATTTTAATCAAACCAGTATAATTAAAAATTTTCATTTTATGTTTTTTTAATGGGGAAATAACATCAGTTACAATAACTTTTGAACCATAATGTTTACAAAATGGGAGTTGTACCATTTTGTTCAGAAGGGCTATAAAATGCAAAATTTTTATAAAAACTGTTCGGGCCATTTTTGAGAAAATTCAGGTTTTCTTTTAATTTATAGGTTTTTACTAGAAAATCACCATACAAATCAAAATTTAAAAAAATAAACCTGAAGATACCATGGATTAGTACCTACATACCGAATTTCATCAAAATCGGACCACAGGTGTGGTCTATAGTTCTGTACACATCCACACATGCATACATTCAGACAAACACAAACTCACATACACACAGACATCACTTCGAAAACTACTTTTTTTTAATTCAGGTGGATCCACTCAAAACTCAAAAATGTTGATGAAAACAATACTTTCTCCATACCATGTATAGGTGGAGAAAGTAGGCAATAAGTATGTGACTGATTAAAAATAATAGCACTCAAGTAATGAGTGAAATTTAAGAAAAGACTCTTGGGCCTGGCGAGTGGTGATCTTGATGCAGGTATGTTTCTATATTGCACTCCAAATATTACTCCGGCGAGTGGTGAATACGTGTGGTTAGAGAGTGGGTTGGTTAGATTAAAAAAATAATTATTAATAAGCATTCTATCGATAATTACCTTTTGACTGAGTGGTTCACTACAAATTTTTGGTTTGTTTAGTGATACTCCAAGAAAAAAGTTTGGGAAACACTTCACTAAATCATAAAGTAAAAGAATGTTGGTGGGTAATAATGAATAGTAGAATTTTCCAATGGAATTTCTTTTCAGAGTTTCGTTTGAACAAGTTATTTTATAAGGATGAGCAACATCTTTTATTTTCTTTAACAGTTCCTCTAGATTTCAGCTTATTGTGTCAATTTAATTCCTCTCTTGTGCTAATTTCTGAATATTCATTTTTTGAATAAGTTGATAAAACTATGGTATCCTAAATAAAGTATATAGTTTGTTGCCAATGATATGTGGTTGTTGAAGATAACTTTCTCATAAGAATAAAATAGTGAGTAATTAATTTATCATTTGTCAATGCTTCTTAAACAAAGCTACACAAACCGTCATACTACGTTATACAGATGACACCTTATATACATAATACAGTGTGTATTCAATCCCATCAACACTTCGTTGAATCAGAATTTTAGTAATTGATGTGGAGATTTAATTATTTTATTAATTTCCTATCCTCATAAATAGACTAATTTGTTTTTTATTATTTTCATTTTGGTATTTTAGCTTTTAAGTTACTTTCAGGCGTAAAACCAAAACCTACAACAAAATATGAAAATGATGCATTACATAAAACGGTATCAGCAATCTGACACATACTTTCTCCCATTAGCTAGTCAAAAATTTGTATCCCTAATTTTAATCAAAACAGGTGTTTTTAATTAATTTTTTTATGTATTTTCTTAATGGGAAAATAACACAGTTACAATAACCTTTGAACAGTAATTTTTACAGCAATGGAAGTTTAGTACCATTTTGTTCAGAATTTAAGTACTATAACATACTATACTTTTATCAAAATAGTTCGGGCCATTTTTTTCTTTTATTTTTTATATTTTTTATTGGAAAGTCACAATCAAAATATAAAAAACCCTGGAGATACTATAAATTAGTTCCTATATACCATAATAACTAATTTATGATATAGGGGGGGAAAGTAAAAACTGTAAGTGGGCTTCAAAAATTAAAAATAACAATAACTTACAGTTTGAAAAAAATATCTCAAACAAACTTTTCTTGGCTAGAGATATAATATATTTGGTTAGCTATGCCCAAATTATTCACAATCATCCAATAAAACAAATCCTCATAAATTACCTGTATAAAGCTAGATTTGATTTATAAATTTTAATGTGCACAATAAAATAAAAAAAGTAATTTTGAGTACATTATTTAATTTGAATTTTAAATGCAAATACAATACAAAAATATACCAATGAGAAATTGATCAAAATGCCTATAAATCTGCATCAAAAAGTTAATGCCCCAGGTGAGGCTCGAACTCACAACCCCGGCATTGCTCACGACTACTGTCTATAAGTACCGTGCGCTAACCGATTGCGCCACTGGGGCAGGCGATGGGAAGCGCATTAAATGTCGCATACGAACTTGGATCACGTACTTTGTGAGCCAGTACAGCTTATCAATGTTATATGTATAAAACACAATGACTAATTTTTACTATTTGGACCTTGAACCTTTATTATTTGGGAAAAAATTATGCACAAATTTATGATATCTGTGAGAGTAAGCTTATATCAATTGAGAAATATAAAAATAACTGCTTATTTAGCTGTTAACATGTATATAAATTATATTACAAACTATGGTTATAAGTTCACCTCAAATTTATTCAAGCAAACAATAATTTTGTTTTAACCATAGTTTTAACTGTAACTTTAATACATATGAGAATTACGTTCACATAGCTGATTTACTGCATTGCAGTTTGTTTCAATTAAAAGTTGCAGTTAGTTGCAAGAAGATAATAATAAACGTCGACTGCTCTCCGACCGACTCCGATGATAATCGTTGATGATCTGTCATATTTTTATCACTCAAGCACTAAAATACAGCTCAACATATTGTTAGTTTAAGTTTTAAGTCATATTTTGGATGTATTCGGTTCTATAAATAACTTTTAAACAAAAACCCTATGCGGATTCTTTTATTTTTAAAATAAATAGGCCTATGTACTATTTTATGATTTATAGGTTAGTTTACTTAAAGGGCGTACATAGGCTTAATATTCTTGGAAATAATGAAATAAAATAAATTATGTTATTATTCGATGCTTCTAAAATATGTCAAACAGTGTAATTGTATCCAAATCTCCTAATTTGCTCTAAGAAAAAGGTAGGTTTTCAACTTGCATCTCTAACAAAAATATACTTTTTAATAATGGGCTAAGTTAAACCTGTTAAACTTAGTTGATCTTTAGGCCTAGGTAAGTAAAAGTAAAACTGTGCTAGATGGATTGTATTCCAATTAAGTTGGAGTCCAAATCAAACACAGGCCTATCTCACATTTAGCAATAGCAAAGGCCTAGGCCTAGTTATAATTTATAATTTAAGCGTAGTTTGCTATCTGCAGAAATGCTTTATTCACATTGCAATCATTATTTTTTTGGTAGTTGTTGTTGAGGACCCCCATTTCACCTTAAACCTAAATTTGAAAACTTAGGCGTATGGTGTCAATTTTAGTGTAAAACAATAGGCCGAAACTGCATAATTTCAAGATAGGTTAAGGTTATACTTAAAAATTACCACCCTGATTTCTTGAAAACGAACTCATGGAAGTAGCGTACATTTTTAAAAATTGCATTAAGTTTAAACTGTGGTTCAAGTTAAACCAAATCTCAGTTAGCCTGTAACATCTAACTATGATTAAAAACAAGCCAAATGGTACTTTTTGATATGTACCTACTAGTGGCAAGTTTGTTTGCCAATACCGGTCATAGATGTCATACTTGACAAAACAGCAAAATAGTCATTCCCTTCTTTATATCTCAAAGACAAGAGCACTACCCGACCAAGGCACTGATATGTACAGCAGGCTTGCTTCAGGACCTCTAAAATCTGGAAATGTATTACTGCCTTGAAGAGGGACTTAAGTTACTACTTATAATACAATTCAATTGGCAAAAAAACCACTCAGGATATAACTTAGATATTTACATGAAACTTGGAACGGAGGTATAACTTATGGTATATCAACATGTAACTTATTCTACAACTACAAGTAAGCCTATGTAAAATTTGGTAACGATTAAAAAATATTTACATATTTTAAAACCACCGTAAATAGCTAATTTTATTTTGTTGACCCGGGTCAATTGCAGAAAATGGGTACTGTGACTCGGGTAAAATTAGCTAATTTCGGTGACAGTTTCATGTAAATAAAGTCAAATCGTACTTACAGAGCCTTGAAAAGCTGGTCATCTGTCATACGATTACCTAAGCTATTTGTAAATATTAAGTGTATAGGCCAAGACCTAAGCTAGGTACAGGATATATCTTTTGAATATGAATGTAGGCCTACCTGTATCCAGTGTATTTTTGTCAAATAAATGTTTACTTTTTATTCAACATACCTGGTCTCCTAGTAGAAGGAGGTAATCAAATAAATGTATATGTATACAAATTTGCCAAAAATATCCCTAACTAAGTTAGATGGCAGTCAAACATTATTATTGAAATTATAAAAAAAAAAAATAGAAAAAGTAGAGAATGATTATATTAGGGCTACATTTTGTGTCCAGACAAAAAAAAATACTAGGCGAACAAAGGCACTAGAAATAACCACTTACTTTGTCTTTAGGTACTATATGGACACAATGAGTTGGTTTGATGCGACAGGATTTGCTAATTTAGCAAAAACGGCTCTGAAAGAAGCTCAAAAGACTATAGACAAAGCTCTTGACATCAAGGAAGAGGATATTGAGCATGTAACTCAGAGCAGCTGTAAGTCTGTTTCACAACATAGCATTTCAAAATTAATTGTTCTCCACTTTATTTATCCTACTAATATTATAAATGAGAAAGTTTGGATGTATGTATGGATGTATGTTTGTGACAAGTGAACGCATTAACCACTGGACGGATTTTGCTAAAATTTGGCATGATGATAGCTCACATTCCCGATTAACATATAGGCATATTCTTATCTCAAAAATCCTTTCGGGCTCCGCCCTACCAACAGGGTGCAGCAGTATTATTATTTTTAATCTATGAAAACAGCTAATTTGCAACCAAAAGGTGAGTGAGCGTAGCGAACAAACTTCATCCTGGACGCAAGTTAGCGTAGCGAACGAACTTCAACCAGGATGTGATTGAGCCATGCGAACGAGCTCACTTACGAAGTAAAACGGGGCAAAGCCCGCGGGTACAGTTGAGTGAGCGTAGCGAACAAACTTTAACCTGGAGGCGAGTTAGCGTAGCGAACGAGCTAACCTGAAGACAAGTGAGCGCAGCGAACGAGCTCCATTCTAAAGGTGAGTGAGCGTAGCGAACGAACTTCAACCAGGACGTGATTGAGCCATGCGAACGAGCTCACTGATGAAGTAAAACGGGGCAAAGCCCGCGGGTACAGCTAGTCTGAAATATTGCATACACCAGTGCATGTTTTTTTTTGGAATAATCTCCTATGTTAGGCTAACTAGACAAAAATTAAAAGTATTTTAGGGGAGTCGCTACTGAAAAAAAAAAACTGTCATAGTATATACTTTTTTAGCTTCATTTAGTCTTAGAAAAAGGATTACCGCTGTTTAAGTACTTTTTGGAGTTTTTTGAGGTTTTTTCAACTCTCTTATAACTACTGAACCAATTTTATTGCTTGGTACCTCATTTTAAAGAGCAAAAAATGTACCAACTTTTGTGCATACTAATATATTTTTCCAAACTAGTTAATGGCTTCGGGTAATTTTTTAAAAATTCCTATGTAATTCATTTTTTTTTCATGTAGGCCTACTTGTACTATTACAATATCCATGTACAAAAAGTTGCTCTATACAGTAGTATAAACAATGTGTAAACAAAATTTCATTCATATAGCTTAAAGTTAATAGTTAAAAAGTTATAGGCCTATGTCATTATATGTAAAAAAACACCAATTTCTAAGTTGCGGAAAACAGTGGTTGATGTTTCAATCTGATGCCCGGAACAGGTGTGTACCCTCCACTTCAAATATTTTTTTCATAGTGATAAAAATATATACCATTTGTTGTGTTTTCCTAAAACCTTAAAATATACCATAGAACAAGAAAAAAAACAAAAATAATGTTTTTTTTTACAAAATTGGTTGTTTTTAGTAGCGACTCCCCTTAAGCTTTCTGGTCAATATTAATAATAAGTATCATGTTAAAATTTTTACTTGGGTCCGAATCAAGTTATGAAATTAATTTTTAATGGTTAAGAGGCCAATAACTATAGTTCGGCCGCTTAGAAAGCGACCTCCTCCAGCATTGGTTTAGCATTAGCGCGCAGGTCGTTTTCTAAGCGGCCGAACTATAGTAGTATAGGCCTAGTTCATTTAATGCTAGCATAAATGGCTAGCAATTAATTGTTAGTAAAGTAGCAAATTTGCATGCACCTCAAGAAGTCAAGTTTTAATTAATTTACAATTAATTACTTAGGTACGTAATAAACACATTCTTTTGGCTTATGGGGATAAACAGTTGGGGTTTCCTAAAATATGGTAGACCTTATATGTGGTTAAACTTTTTTTTGCTTGTGACCGCCAGTGCTATTTATTATTGATGAAGTCAACTCAAATATTTGTAAAAAAAAAAAAAACTGTCCAAACCCATAATAGTTTTGTATATGTGCCTGGAATTGGACTCTACCCTGTTACTGACATCTTAGACACTAACCTCTAGCTAGCAAGACACCTTCTTATAATAACTATTAAAAGTAGGCTTTATCAAGCAAGAATCAAGAATTTTGCCAAGAGTTGCCATGTGTAGGCTCTTACTGTCTGTGACCCTATGCTTCAACGCCTGCAAGACGAAGGGGCGTAAGCGACAATTTGTTGTATGTAAGGAAAATTAGTGAGCTCTTGGTCTTTTTAAAAAGAGTGCTTATTTCCTATTAGACCATTTTTACCCGTGCTTAATATCTCCACACACACATTCATATCACCCAAGCTGAACGCAGCCGACAAAATTAGTGAAACAGATTTTTCACTAAGCTATATTTTGAGGCATAGTTTAAAAAATTAACTTATTGATTAAATTTTAGTTTCATAGACATTGAAATGTATTAGTAAATCAATTGAAATGTAGAGGTGAAAAATAGTGAAAACTGTCTTTATTACCTACAGCCTATACCGTACTAAAATAAAATACAAAAATTGTCTTTTTGCACTCTTATATTATCTGGAAGGGGTAGGCCGAAGCCTCAAAATGCTTCATCCAGATTTGTCGAATTATTTCGCACCCCAGTGAGTTGATACATTCTAAAGAGACCTTCAATGTCCAGGCATCTGATAAACCTATAAGTTCCTATTCAAGAAGTTAACTCCTTCTTCCCAGATTGCCATGAGTTGTCCTTCTTACCTCAGGGAGCACCTCACAGTCAAAAACAGGTGATCAGCAGTCTTATCTGACCTGCTGAACTTGCCATCATCATACAAACTCTTTCGATGCAGTTGCTTTCTGAACCACCTATGTCCAGCAAAGGCGTGTGAAGAATGAGCTTATTTTCTCTTAAGAGGGGTGCTTCAGCCCATCTCTTACAAAGTTTTTCAGTGGCCCATGTCATGATGGAGGTGCACACATACCTATGTAAGATGCCACAGAAGGGTTTAGGACCGAACAAAAATGCCGCCAAAGAAACATTTGCCAGAATGTTAGCAGCATTACCTTCAAGGTCTGAGTGACCAGGTACCCAAACAAATGTTAAATAGTTCCTCTTCCTGATTTCGACAAGGCGTAAGACAATCTTGAAGTTGAATTTGTTTGAAATAAAAGCAGGACTGTCAGTGTAGATACAGATTATTTGGTCTCTGGTCTCCTTACTGAAATTATTCTCACAGGTTCAAACCAAACAGGGCAGTGACTTCCGCTTGGAAAACAGTTGAGTGCACTCCCAAAGAAAGGCGGATTCCCACTTCCTTTCTGTTCCCTGTATACCAAAAGCTCACCAGCACCCTCTAGGTTTTCCTTGGATCCATTAACCTGTTATTCCCTCCGATTTCCCGAACTCCCGCCAATATCCCATAACCGCCATATATCGCCCCCGAACCCGCAATACCAAACAATAGTCTCCCTCCTTCCTTCTCACCCCCCCGGCTACAACTGTAGAAACCCACATCAGTCACGGGGTTGGGCCTCTTCCCCCAAACCATTCTTCATTTGTCGGTATACAATACACTTCACACGGTTTCTTTTTGTACTCCATGTGACTGAAATTCTCAACACAGCCGTTGTTTGCAGGACTAAATATGGCTAACAAACACATAGCAACCTGTACTCCGAGGTTTTGACTTCTAGAGATCGGTTGAGAAAACCTAAAATTAAAGAGGTTAATCTTGATTTGCCGAGATAAAGTGCATACAGTAGACTCCCTCTTATCCGGACACCTTTTAACCGGACATCGGTTTAACCAGACTACACTCAACGGAAATGACATCTCTTTAACCGGATAATTTTTATCAGCACATTGGTTTAACCGGACTAGGTCGGCAGGAAGTGGGCGGTATTGAAACGACTGTTCTTGTGGGAAATATTTGAGACCAGTGATCACGTGTCTAAATACAATGCTCTCCTAAATTAAAGTCGAATACCACAGTAAACAGTCCATTTTAACAATTTTTTAGGGACGTCGGTTTAACCGGAAAAACCGTTATCCGGACTGGCCTCAGTTCCGAGGAGTCCGGATAAGAGGGAGTCTACTGTAGTTGATTTGACTTGACTTGTATAGGGGTTTGAGTTAGCGAGTTAGTTGACCATTAGGAATTCAGTTTAGGAATTTGTTATGCCCAATCGCTAGGAGTGCATAGTTTTTGCCTCTAGTAAAGTAGCATTTAAGAACTTTGATAAAAACAGCTTAATTTGTTCTTAAAATCAAATGACTCGTTACTAAATGATACTCGTTTTCTAGTGACGTCACCTGGTGCTGAGACGGAAATGTGGGTAGACCAAGGAGTGCCTCGGAGTGAAAGTGAGCCAAAACTCTCATCCTCGAGTAAACTTGGTCAAAGTGGAAGTCTGTGGGGATCCTTCACAGGCTCGTTTTTTGAAAATCCTAAATTGCTAGAAAGTAAGTGTTAAATTTTCTTTATTTTTTATTATTCTTTTAGCCTCTTTCATAAGAGAAATTTTAGTCAGTAGGCCAATAATAATAATCTAATTTATTATGTCTTTAAAAACTGTCTCCTAGTTGTAGCTGTTAAAATGGAGTTAGGTACAACAAGTTTTGTTCAATAAGCTGTATGAATATGGCTGTTATGACTTCAAGAATGTGTAGTAATATTAGTGTATATTAGTAACATTAGTGTGTCAGATTATCAAGCGTTTCTTGATATTAAATTTCATCTGTAGTGGTATTTTTAAGTTCTAAAGATGTGAAAGCCATTGAAAATCATCGACAGATTAGTGAAGAGAAGTGCATGGCGAGAACATTATGAGTGTCATAATGGTACGCAAGTGGATTAGGGCATTTAAATACGGTCCCACCAACGTTCATGATGAGTAACGCAAAGGGCGGCGTCATTACTGTCCCCGGACCCAGTGCGTTGCTCATCATGAACATTGATGGGACCGTCTTAAAATGCCCTTACCTACTTGCGTACCATTCCGTCACTCATAATGTTCTCGCCATACATTTCACTAATCTGACGATGATATCAAATCGAATCAAATCAAATATGCTTTATTCATGCTTATAAATGATATTCAATAGCTTTCAAACCTTAAGCACTTAAAAATCTAATTACAGCGCGAACTTCACAGTCGGCGGCAGTCTTAATTGGCGGCACCATTTTGAATGCTCGAAACCGGATGTAAACACGGCCGATTGTTCTTGAATTTCTGGCTAGGTCTTACCAATAGATGCCCATACACAGCGCAAATGTCGAAAATGCCAATCGCAGTGCTGGAACGGAGAAATTTAAAAACGGTACTTACATAAAAAACATGCCTCGTATTTTCTCACACACTTGTTTCAAAGATTTCCTTTATTTAAAATCCCCTTACATACTGACTTAGTTGCCATTGGCTGTATTGGCTATTAATTAACAGCTGTGTCTAAGGAACATGTCGGCCTTAGTCACTAACAAGATCGCGCCACTCATCCTAGACTCATCCTTCACTCATATTTGGGTTAAAATACGCACATAGTGGCGTCCCCCATCTTTAATAATTTATTGATTTAATTGATTGATTGATTGATCTATGTCTTATTCATCTGCCGTAGTTTAATAAATAAAATAAGCCCAGTAAAATTGACCGAAAATAGGACCTTTGACCGTTGGTTTTGTAATAAACATCCCATCTATAAAGATCAGCTGTAGCAGCTAGTAAAATTGAACACCTGTTACTGATACTGAGATAGTTGATGTGTCTATAACATGCAATAATTTACAATAAGCTGTCATTTCCTTTCAGTTCGGCTTAGACAAATAAATGGGTAGCCTTTTGTGTGATATGCACAACACATTCTGCCAGTTGCTCAATGTAACAATGTTCATTTTTATTCTAAATTGGCTATAAAGCTTTTACATGGAAACTTCTATAACTACTACTACTACTATTACTAGGACATATTTGTCAAATCTTTAACTTAATTGTCAGTCACTTTATCAAATTATTTAATAATTTTTCATAAGAGTGCATTGCATATTTTAATCTTTAATTGTTTAGTAACTTCATTATCTGTTATTTATAACTTTGTAAATGTTAAATTTTGATTACAGATGATGCAAAAGAGAACCCCGAGACTCCTAGTCGTCCTACTAACTTTATTTCAAACCAGCCCAAAAAAACAGCCACATTTCAGCCTCCCTCGGCTAGTACAGCTAATACTTCACCTTCAGAGGCAAAAACCCCTGATCCGAGCTGTCCTTCTGATATCCGAGAAGAGATTCTCAACTTTCCGCCAGTAGTCTATAGGAAAAAAGAACCTCGTAACTATAACAACCGGTTATCTGCTATCTCGTCTGAAAGTGATCGAAGGTAATCAGTCTTACGTTTTATAAAATTCCTCGTTGAACTGATGTTGGTTAGCTAGACAAGATGTAGAGCAGAATTACATTTTGTGTGTTATAATCCCTGTGGTATAAAAATTAGAATATGAGAGGTACCGGTATAGTGATAGTTGTTAAAACCAAACATTATAAATCTAAAAACCGGAAACAAATCTTAAAAAATCAAAATGCTTTAAATTTAGCTTAGCATCTCATACTGGAAATAGCAGTTTTTCTGTTAAATTTTTGGATATTAAAATATAAGGTAAATGTTAACTGTTTACTTGCGTGTTGTTCATTGATGGATATACTTAACCTTATTATTTGGGAAAAAGGACACAGAAAATAAATAATTTTTTCCCAATACAGTATGTCACTATTAACGATTGACAACCAATAACCACAATGTTTGTGATCTTCACATTTTAAGAGGACAAACATGCTTGATTTCTGTTGTCACTTTTGAGTTTTTAAAATTGTTAATTGAATATTGAAACCAAAACTTTTTTCAGTGGTTTAAAGATTTTGGTTTGGTTTTTTACACATCTCTAGACAGATGTTATGTGACTGGATGTAGACTTGTAATGTAAAATTTAAATTTTGTAAGTAAATATAACAAACACTTTCCATTACCTTGAACAATGTTTAAGCTGACAAGTAATTTATACTACTACAAACCAAAACAGCTACTACCTACCCAGACATTTTAGCAAGACTTTTCTGGCAACAACCGAGGCAAACAACACTTGTTTATAGTCTTTGATGAATTTCTTGCATATTTCCCTCTGTAGGTCAAGTTCCAGCTGTGAAGTACTCGGCAGTTGTACGCCTGATTCTGACCCTCAACATTCCCTCTCCACCTCCTCGTCCGTTGTAAGACTGCGGCAGTCGGGCAGCTTTGAGTCTGTTGAAGTACTTACGTCTCCCAGCAGTGTTGAAGTTCTCGGGTCTACTGCTAGTGAACACAGGTGAAGTCCTTTTGGAAACAGTTTTTAGTTTTACATATTTTTTTGTGTTAGGCTGATACAACATTATTTAAGATGGTGTGTTTGTTTGCATGGATTTCGTTTGGTCAGGATGAGGCTAAGGTTGGTTAAAAGATCAGGTTTAAGTACTAGCAGCTTTAACTTTTATAGGTTGTTTGTTTATTGAGTGTGACTAGTGCAAGGGGTGATTGGGTGGCTCAGTTAGTAGCACAATGAACAGTGAAACCAAGCCAGCAATGTTTCATGTCCTGATACCACCACGTTGAATTTATTAGTAGGCTATCAGTTATTCTTGTACTGTGCACACCCCTAGTTTTGCCTACGTTTTGTGCACAGACCTATGAGATACTTGTATACATGCAAATCCAAGTTACACCCTCTTAGGGTCATTCGCTGTAATTATGGCGACATCGTTTTTGCCGCAAGTGTCAGTCGCTATATTTACGGCGACGTTGCAGTTTTTCTGTTTCGTTTGATATAATCCTGTACTATCGAAAGATCCCAGTAACAATGCATACCAATGTATTTGGCAGATTCTGGACTTCATGACAACCAATAACAATGGCTGTTTTGCGAACTATTTCTTTTGTCCTGTGTTTTTTTTTCTGCTTGTTTGTTTTCGTCCATGGTTCTCTATGGTTGCTACATCGTTTTGGTGTTCATATCTTTGTTTTTATAAAGTTTAGTAATCATTTTTGGAATAAATCTATATATATAAAATCCAATGTATGTTTGTATATTTGTATGTTTGTATATTTGTATGTTTGTATATTTGTATGTTTGTCCTTTATGGACTCCAAAACCGCTAGACAGATTTTAATGAAACTTTCAGGCATTATTAAGTATTATTCAAGGAAGGTTTGTGTGAAGTTTGGTGCAGATCCGTCAATAGGGCTCCGCCCCAGAGGCTCTGGAGTTTCCAATGTTAACCTTATGAGTACTGATATTTAAATGGAATTAAAGAATCTTAACAGCTGGTGCAACTAAACAATTTGATTCTGTGATGTTCAATAGCATTAAAAAGTTAATAGGTTTACCAACAGGGTGCAGCACTATACTTATTTTTAATTTATGAGAACAGCTAATTTGCAACCAAAAGGTGAGTGAGCGTAGCGAACGAACTTCAACCTGGAGGCGAGTTAGCGTAGCGAACGAGCTAACCTGAAGGCAAGTGAGCGCAGCGAACGAGCTCCAACCTAAAGGTGAGTGAGCGTAGCGAACGAACTTCAACCAGGACTGATTGAGCCATGCGAACGAGCTCATCTTGAAAATGAACGAGCATGTGACATAAAACCACAATAGGACAGGACGACGTCTGTCGGGCCAGCTAGTACTATATAAATATATATTTTCTTTTTCCTAATTTAATTTGGAATAAAATAAATATAACAGTTTTTTTTTATTTAATGACTCTTGGTGTTTTACCACATGTCTGGTTACTCAGAAATAGAAACAAAATTTGTGCATCTGGATTTGAACCCATATAGAAATTGAGTCTTGTAAAGTACGGCCAGTACAGGTGTTATACTATACAATTTAAAGACAGCCTATTTCATGTAGGCCTAGTTTAAGAAAAAATATACAGGGTGATTGGGACTCAGTGTGAAAAAAGTTTTGGTGTAAGTACAAAACTAAATGAAGTGTGATGATGCATATAAGAGGTTCCAGGTCTATAAATAAAAATTAGCTTCCCATTTAAAGTTTTCCAAAAATAACCATGTTTTTAAACACAATATAGCAATTTCTCAATTACCTGTAAATAGATTTGAGTAGATGATGTCATTTTCGTGTTCTAAATTAAATATTGAATAAAAAGAATATAAAATGATGAAAGATCAATTGTAAAAACTCCATTGTAAATAGTACCAAAGACTAAAATGAAGCTCTATAGTCTATACTATGATAAAAATTTGAAATAAATAGTCTATTGCATTTTCCTACACTCTGTATACAAGAAAGTAGCAAAATATGTTAAGAACTGCGCCATTTTATAAGATTTCCAACCATATGCTACACTATTGAGTTTTAGAACTGCTTATGTACGCTTTAGTAGTTTGAAGACCTCCAAAACATGGTGTTTTTAACATAGATTAGTCGGCATGTATTAAGCAAACTTGTATTTTTGTTTCAGTTTGAACAGTAAAAACAGTAAAAAAGTTCTTTGTTTTCTAGTATTCAAACCACTAAAACAAACAAAAGCATATCCAAACCTCAATGGTTGGAAATGGAAAGCTTGTTAAATGGCACAGTTTTCAAAATATTTGGCTACCTTCTTGTATACAGGGTTTAGAAAAATGCAATAGACCAATGTTTTTAAATTTTTATCAAAAACCTTAATTTTTAACATTGTGTTTATTTACAATGGAGTTTTTACTATTGATCCTCCATAATTTTTAATTATTCTATTATTCACAATTTAATGTAGAACACAAAAATGACATTATCTACTCAAATCCACTAACAGGTAATTGAGAAATCGCTGTATTAAGTTTAAAAACATGGTTATTTTTTAAAAACTTAAAATAATTCTTTGGGAAGCTAATTTTTAGACCTGGAACCTCTTAAATGCATCATCACACTTCATTTACTTTGTACTTTTCTTAAAACTTTCAACTAAAAAAAAATTAAAACTTTAATTTTCACACTGAGTGTCCCAATTACCCTGTATGTATGTATTCAATGAACGTTTTTATTTATGTTTGCATAAAACTTGACAAATGTGCCTAAATAATCGGGACATTTGGAATGCGACACTTTAAGGGTTAAAAGGGAGGTTTAAACGTTTAAACCCAACTCTAGAGATTAAATTCCTTATAAATTCTTTGTTGTTATTTTGCTGTACATTGGATACGGTACTAAATTTTACTTCAACAACTTGATTGATTAGTTGCATTAAACTGGGGCAATTATTAAATTTTAGATATAAAAATAGCTTGTGCCTTATAAATATACGAAAACAAAATAAAGTAATTAAAAGAAGAGATTATATTATAAATCATTGAAACACTTTTGTATTAAGATACAACAACAATAAATAATTTTAAAACATAAAGAGGAAGTCCGCTGATCATAATATGATGGCAATTATAAATTAAATACAGTAGGGACAGTAAGTAGTAGATTCATATTAGGATTTATGTTAGTGGTAAAACTATACAGCCACACTATATTATATTTGATAGAAGTTACATAACAATAAACCATATATTTGTATATCTCTTTGTACTTCAGTATGTTCTATTTCAGATTAATTCAATTTTGAATGACAACGATATCTGTTAATAATACCTAATATTTTGGAAGTACTTTGTTGTTATAATTAGAAAATTAAGTGATTATTGTGTTTTTGTTGTCAGCTAAGTAAATCTATTCAGTCTATTCTCTATTTAATATTTTCTTTATAGGTATTCGAGTGACAGCATATCACCCATAGCTGAAGGGGAAGGTCCTCCTGAACTAGTGGATGACTCTGAACCAAGCGTGGCCGAGGACAGTTACACCTCTGCCTCGGAAACTCTAACAGCGGGAACAGGTGATTGTTGGTTACTTCTTAGAAAAACCATTAAATATCTCGTAGAGTTATAGGGATGCAAATTATTTACATTTATGATGAAGAAGGCTTACCTGGAAACATTTTTAAGATGTACAATTGAAATATTTATGCTCCTGGAGAACCTATTTTGAGTGTAAGAAGACCACAATTTTTAATTACAAAGATTTTATTTTAGGTTTGTAAAATTCATTTCTGTCAACTCTTTCAGTAAAACTCTTATACAAAAACACTTTTTCGCCATACTGCAGCACAAACAGCCGTTTTTAATGCATGTGTTGCGGATCTAAAATAGCATTTTACTCTATAGGGAGCAAAAGTCATCTGTTTAAACAGTTGTAAATTTCAATTGTGGCAATCGTTTCGATCAAAATTATTTATTGATTGATTTATTAGGTAAGGTGTTAGCCTATTATTGTCCATTGTTCGACATATCGATGGTATAATGTCCTGTTACACAATCGTAATAGACAAAATGATTGAATCGCTTACTAAACAGCTGCTTATTTGCATTAGCAGAATTGAAAACAAGCTGGAAGTCGTTTTAAGAGGTTATCTCTACATACAAATTATTTTGTTTTCTAGCTTAGTTTGTTAATTAATGGTGCAATATGTCAAAAAATATAGTTCACCACACAGGCAAAAATTGTCTTTTTAACCCTCACTCATTTTCTGACCTTGCCTTCGCCCTGATTGTAAAACTTGACCTCGGGTTGAAAAGAGTCACTTCAGGCCCTATTGATGAAATACTATTCCATCTTACCCAGTATCCTAAAGTTATTATTTCACAGCCGCACACCCTCTGGAAATAAACCAAATACACAGAAAGTTGTTAACATGTAAGTTAATAAAGGTAGGTGGTTGAGAAGAATTGTGTCTTTAGTATTTAAAGTTATTAAAGTCATTGAAAATGAAACAAAACAAAACCAAACAAAAGTATTCTTGTGGAAGGTTACAAATATTGGTAAACTTAAAATTAAAATATATATCAAAGTTATCTTCCTTAATGTGTTTAGAATTGATGTTTAATCTACCTATTTTTCTGTCATTCAGTTCTGGATCTTCCCCAAGCTTCGTCAACATCGCGTGATTTGATGTCTGCTTCAACAACATCACGGGATTTAATGTCCACATCGTCAACATCGAGAGACTTGATGCTCAAATCAACATCGTCTCTGGACACTTCCTTTACAGAGCCTCCTCGAGATGTATGTTTCTTCTAAATAGGCATAAACTAGTACTGGCTGCTCTAAGTTAAACGGCAGATTAAACTTGTAGTAGAATCCCACTAGTTTGGCCACTTTAGGACTGGACTACCTGCCAAACTACAAAATGGCCAGACTAACGGAATGTATTATCAAAGGTTAAAATAATCCTAATAAATTAATGACCAACACTTACAAATCAACAAACAACATTATTTTAATATTTTTGTACAACATTACTTACCAAAATTAAGCTTTTGACATATTTTTCTTGAATTGTCTTGTTTTTCCACTTATAAATGTGTTTTTACAATACTGGACAAATTTGCGCCCCTATCAAGATGCTCTAGAATGCTGAGTCTTTGTTCCATTGCCACAAACTTATGTTTACGTATTCCACTCATTTTAGAATGCATCTTTCTAACAGTATACCCGCATACAGAACTCACATTTACTCAACATTGACCCACGTAAACAATCTTATACCGGTACTGTACAGTAAAAAACCATATACATATGAAATTATAAATAACTCATCCCCCTGAGACCGGCCGTAATTTCCAGCAGCCGACCCCAACTGAAGTCAAACAAGAGGGACTCTGCTGTAATATAGTTACGAAATATAGTTCCTTAAAATAGATTTGGCTGGGTATGTAATAGAACATGCATTAAATTTTGAATGTAGACATTTGTTCTTTGCATAAATAAAAGTACTATTCATGTGAAGCTAAACTAGTTTCCAACCCAACCAGATAGGTTTACCAAGAACTCCGAAATTTAAACCTTTTAAAGTGACCTGATCTCTTTGATTGTAGAGTGTAGGCAGTGAGTGTGAAACCGGGGTGTCTAGCTGTGAGGAAGGCACACTGATGGCCAGTAGTGGGGAGGAGACAACTCTAGGTACATCTACATCAACCTCCTATCTCACCAACCTACTGGCAGACGCAATGACTGAGCAACCTCCTCACAGAGAACATTCTCCTATATCATCTGAGAGGTAAGTGAAAACTGTAGTGTCTAGGTGTGAGGAAGGTACACTGATGGCCAGTAGTGGGGAGGAGACAACTCTAGGAACATCTACATCATCCTCCTATCTCACCAACCTACTGGCAGACGCAATGACTGAGCAACCTCCTCACAGAGAACATTCTCCTATATCATCTGAGAGGTAAGTGAAAACTGTAGTGTCTAGCTGTGAGGAAGGTACACTGATGGCCAGTAGTGGGGAGGAGACAACTCTAGGTACATCTACATCATCCTCCTATCTCACCAACCTACTGGCAGACGCAATGACTGAGCAACCTCCTCACAGAGAACATTCTCCTATATCATCTGAGAGGTAAGTGAAAACTGTAGTGTCTAGCTGTGAGGAAGGCACACTGATGGCCAGTAGTGGGGAGGAGACAACTCTAGGTACATCTACATCAACCTCCTATCTCACCAACCTACTGGCAGACGCAATGACTGAGCAACCTCCTCACAGAGAACATTCTCCTATATCATCTGAGAGGTAAGTGAAAACTGTAGTGGTGTCTAGGTGTGAGGAAGGTACACTGATGGCCAGTAGTGGGGAGGAGACAACTCTAGGAACATCTACATCATCCTCCTATCTCACCAACCTACTGGCAGACGCAATGACTGAGCAACCTCCTCACAGAGAACATTCTCCTATATCATCTGAGAGGTAAGTGAAAACTGTAGTGTCTAGCTGTGAGGAAGGTACACTGATGGCCAGTAGTGGGGAGGAGACAACTCTAGGTACATCTACATCATCCTCCTATCTCACCAACCTACTGGCAGACGCAATGACTGAGCAACCTCCTCACAGAGAACATTCTCCTATATCATCTGAGAGGTAAGTGAAAACTGTAGTGTCTAGCTGTGAGGAAGGCACACTGATGGCCAGTAGTGGGGAGGAGACAACTCTAGGTACATCTACATCAACCTCCTATCTCACCAACCTACTGGCAGACGCAATGACTGAGCAACCTCCTCACAGAGAACATTCTCCTATATCATCTGAGAGGTGAGTGAAAACTGTAGTGTCTAGGTGTGAGGAAGGCACACTGATGGCCAGTAGTGGGGAGGAGACAACTCTAGGTACATCTACATCAACCTCCTATCTCACCAACCTACTGGCAGACGCAATGACTGAGCAACCTCCTCACAGAGAACATTCTCCTATATCATCTGAGAGGTAAGTGAAAACTGTAGTGTCTAGGTGTGAGGAAGGTACACTGATGGCCAGTAGTGGGGAGGAGACAACTCTAGGTACATCTACATCAACCTCCTATCTCACCAACCTACTGGCAGACGCAATGACTGAGCAACCACCTCACAGAGAACATTCTCCTATATCATCTGAGAGGTAAGTGAAAACTGTAGTGTCTAGGTGTGAGGAAGGTACACTGATGGCCAGTAGTGGGGAGGAGACAACTCTAGGTACATCTACATCAACCTCCTATCTCACCAACCTACTGGCAGACGCAATGACTGAGCAACCTCCAAACAGAGAACATTCTCCTATATCATCTGAGAGGTAAGTGAAAACTGTAGTGTCTAGGTGTGAGGAAGGCACACTGATGGCCAGTAGTGGGGAGGAGACAACTCTAGGTACATCTACATCAACCTCCTATCTCACCAACCTACTGGCAGACGCAATGACTGAGCAACCTCCTCACAGAGAACATTCTCCTATATCATCTGAGAGGTAAGTGAAAACTGTAGTGTCTAGCTGTGAGGAAGGTACACTGATGGCCAGTAGTGGGGAGGAGACAACTCTAGGTACATCTACATCATCCTCCTATCTCACCAACCTACTGGCAGACGCAATGACTGAGCAACCTCCTCACAGAGAACATTCTCCTATATCATCTGAGAGGTAAGTGAAAACTGTAGTGTCTAGGTGTGAGGAAGGTACACTGATGGCCAGTAGTGGGGAGGAGACAACTCTAGGTACATCTACATCAACCTCCTATCTCACCAACCTACTGGCAGACGCAATGACTGAGCAACCTCCTCACAGAGAACATTCTCCTATATCATCTGAGAGGTAAGTGAAAACTGTAGTGTCTAGCTGTGAGGAAGGTACACTGATGGCCAGTAGTGGGGAGGAGACAACTCTAGGTACATCTACATCATCCTCCTATCTCACCAACCTACTGGCAGACGCAATGACTGAGCAACCTCCTCACAGAGAACATTCTCCTATATCATCTGAGAGGTAAGTGAAAACTGTAGTGTCTAGCTGTGAGGAAGGTACACTGATGGCCAGTAGTGGGGAGGAGACAACTCTAGGTACATCTACATCATCCTCCTATCTCACCAACCTACTGGCAGACGCAATGACTGAGCAACCTCCTCACAGAGAACATTCTCCTATATCATCTGAGAGGTAAGTGAAAACTGTAGTGTCTAGCTGTGAGGAAGGCACACTGATGGTCAGTAGTGGGGAGAAGACAACTCTAGGTACATCTACATCATCCTCCTATCTCACCAACCTACTGGCAGACGCAATGACTGAGCAACCTCCTCACAGAGAACATTCTCCTATATCATCTGAGAGGTAAGTGAAAACTGTAGTGTCTAGCTGTGAGGAAGGTACACTGATGGTCAGTAGTGGGGAGAAGACAACTCTAGGAACATCTACATCATCCTCCTATCTCACCAACCTACTGGCAGACGCAATGACTGAGCAACCTCCTCACAGAGAACATTCTCCTATATCATCTGAGAGGTAAGTGAAAACTGTAGTGTCTAGCTGTGAGGAAGGTACACTGATGGTCAGTAGTGGGGAGGAGACAACTCTAGGTACATCTACATCAACCTCCTATCTCACCAACCTACTGGCAGACGCAATGACTGAGCAACCTCCTCACAGAGAACATTCTCCTATATCATCTGAGAGGTAAGTGAAAACTGTAGTGTCTAGCTGTGAGGAAGGCACACTGATGGCCAGTAGTGGGGAGGAGACAACTCTAGGTACATCTACATCATCCTCCTATCTCACCAACCTACTGGCAGACGCAATGACTGAGCAACCTCCTCACAGAGAACATTCTCCTATATCATCTGAGAGGTAAGTGAAAACTGTAGTGTCTAGGTGTGAGGAAGGTACACTGATGGCCAGTAGTGGGGAGGAGACAACTCTAGGTACATCTACATCAACCTCCTATCTCACCAACCTACTGGCAGACACAATGACTGAGCAACCACCTCACAGAGAACATTCTCCTATATCATCTGAGAGGTAAGTGAAAACTGTAATGTCTAGGTGTGAGGAAGGTACACTGATGGCCAGTAGTGGGGAGGAGACAACTCTAGGTACATCTACATCAACCTCCTATCTCACCAACCTACTGGCAGACGCAATGACAGAGCAACCTCCTCACAGAGAACATTCTCCTATATCATCTGAGAGGTAAGTGAAAACTGTAGTGGTGTCTAGGTGTGAGGAAGGTACACTGATGGCCAGTAGTGGGGAGGAGACAACTCTAGGTACATCAACATCAACCTCCTATCTCACCAACCTACTGGCAGACGCAATGACTGAGCAACCTCCTCACAGAGAATATTCTCCTATATCATCTGAGAGGTAAGTGAAAACTGTAGTGTCTAGGTGTGAGGAAGGTACACTGATGGCCAGTAGTGGGGAGGAGACAACTCTAGGTACATCAACATCAACCTCCTATCTCACCAACCTACTGGCAGACGCAATGACTGAGCAACCTCCTCACAGAGAACATTCTCCTATATCATCTGAGAGGTGAGTGAAAACTGTAGTGTCTAGGTGTGAGGAAGGCACACTGATGGTCAGTAGTGGGGAGAAGACAACTCTAGGAACATCTACATCAACCTCCTATCTCACCAACCTACTGGCAGACGCAATGACTGAGCAACCTCCTCACAGAGAACATTCTCCTATATCATCTGAGAGGTAAGTGAAAACTGTAGTGTCTAGGTGTGAGGAAGGTACACTGATGGCCAGTAGTGGGGAGGAGACAACTCTAGGAACATCTACATCAACCTCCTATCTCACCAACCTACTGGCAGACGCAATGACTGAGCAACCTCCTCACAGAGAACATTCTCCTATATCATCTGAGAGGTAAGTGAAAACTGTAGTGTCTAGCTGTGAGGAAGGTACACTGATGGCCAGTAGTGGGGAGGAGACAACTCTAGGAACATCTACATCATCCTCCTATCTCACCAACCTACTGGCAGACGCAATGACTGAGCAACCTCCTCACAGAGAACATTCTCCTATATCATCTGAGAGGTAAGTGAAAACTGTAGTGTCTAGCTGTGAGGAAGGTACACTGATGGCCAGTAGTGGGGAGGAGACAACTCTAGGTACATCAACATCAACCTCCTATCTCACCAACCTACTGGCAGACGCAATGACTGAGCAACCTCCTCACAGAGAACATTCTCCTATATCATCTGAGAGGTAAGTGAAAACTGTAGTGTCTAGCTGTGAGGAAGGCACACTGATGGCCAGTAGTGGGGAGGAGACAACTCTAGGTACATCTACATCAACCTCCTATCTCACCAACCTACTGGCAGATGCAATGACTGAGCAACCTCCTCACAGAGAACATTCTCCTATATCATCTGAGAGGTAAGTGAAAACTGTAGTGTCTAGCTGTGAGGAAGGTACACTGATGGCCAGTAGTGGGGAGGAGACAACTCTAGGTACATCTACATCAACCTCCTATCTCACCAACCTACTGGCAGACGCAATGACTGAGCAACCTCCTCACAGAGAACATTCTCCTATATCATCTGAGAGGTAAGTGAAAACTGTAGTGTCTAGCTGTGAGGAAGGTACACTGATGGCCAGTAGTGGGGAGGAGACAACTCTAGGTACATCTACATCAACCTCCTATCTCACCAACCTACTGGCAGACGCAATGACTGAGCAACCACCTCACATAGAACATTCTCCTATATCATCTGAGAGGTAAGTGAAAACTGTATTGTCTAGCTGTGAGGAAGGCACACTGATGGCCAGTAGTGGGGAGGAGACAACTCTAGGTACATCTACATCATCCTCCTATCTCACCAACCTACTGGCAGACGCAATGACTGAGCAACCTCCTCACAGAGAACATTCTCCTATATCATCTGAGAGGTAAGTGAAAACTGTAGTGTCTAGGTGTGAGGAAGGTACACTGATGGTCAGTAGTGGGGAGAAGACAACTCTAGGAACATCTACATCAACCTCCTATCTCACCAACCTACTGGCAGACGCAATGACTGAGCAACCTCCTCACAGAGAACATTCTCCTATATCATCTGAGAGGTAAGTGAAAACTGTATTGTCTAGCTGTGAGGAAGGCACACTGATGGTCAGTAGTGGGGAGAAGACAACTCTAGGAACATCTACATCAACCTCCTATCTCACCAACCTACTGGCAGACGCAATGACTGAGCAACCTCCTCACAGAGAACATTCTCCTATATCATCTGAGAGGTAAGTGAAAACTGTATTGTCTAGCTGTGAGGAAGGCACACTGATGGTCAGTAGTGGGGAGAAGACAACTCTAGGTACATCTACATCAACCTCCTATCTCACCAACCTACTGGCAGACGCAATGACTGAGCAACCTCCTCACAGAGAACATTCTCCTATATCATCTGAGAGGTAAGTGAAAACTGTAGTGTCTAGGTGTGAGGAAGGCACACTGATGGTCAGTAGTGGGGAGAAGACAACTCTAGGTACATCTACATCAACCTCCTATCTCACCAACCTACTGGCAGACGCAATGACTGAGCAACCTCCTCACAGAGAACATTCTCCTATATCATCTGAGAGGTAAGTGAAAACTGTATTGTCTAGCTGTGAGGAAGGCACACTGATGGTCAGTAGTGGGGAGAAGACAACTCTAGGTACATCTACATCATCCTCCTATCTCACCAACCTACTGGCAGACGCAATGACTGAGCAACCTCCTCACAGAGAACATTCTCCTATATCATCTGAGAGGTAAGTGAAAACTGTAGTGTCTAGGTGTGAGGAAGGTACACTGATGGTCAGTAGTGGGGAGAAGACAACTCTAGGAACATCTACATCAACCTCCTATCTCACCAACCTACTGGCAGACGCAATGACTGAGCAACCTCCTCACAGAGAACATTCTCCTATATCATCTGAGAGGTAAGTGAAAACTGTATTGTCTAGCTGTGAGGAAGGCACACTGATGGTCAGTAGTGGGGAGAAGACAACTCTAGGAACATCTACATCAACCTCCTATCTCACCAACCTACTGGCAGACGCAATGACTGAGCAACCTCCTCACAGAGAACATTCTCCTATATCATCTGAGAGGTAAGTGAAAACTGTAGTGTCTAGCTGTGAGGAAGGTACACTGATGGCCAGTAGTGGGGAGGAGACAACTCTAGGTACATCTACATCAACCTCCTATCTCACCAACCTACTGGCAGACGCAATGACTGAGCAACCTCCTCACATAGAACATTCTCCTATATCATCTGAGAGGTAAGTGAAAACTGTATTGTCTAGCTGTGAGGAAGGCACACTGATGGCCAGTAGTGGGGAGGAGACAACTCTAGGTACATCTACATCATCCTCCTATCTCACCAACCTACTGGCAGACGCAATGACTGAGCAACCTCCTCACAGAGAACATTCTCCTATATCATCTGAGAGGTAAGTGAAAACTGTAGTGTCTAGCTGTGAGGAAGGTACACTGATGGCCAGTAGTGGGGAGGAGACAACTCTAGGTACATCTACATCAACCTCCTATCTCACCAACCTACTGGCAGACGCAATGACTGAGCAACCACCTCACAGAGAACATTCTCCTATATCATCTGAGAGGTAAGTGAAAACTGTAGTGTCTAGCTGTGAGGAAGGCACACTGATGGCCAGTAGTGGGGAGGAGACAACTCTAGGTACATCTACATCAACCTCCTATCTCACCAACCTACTGGCAGACGCAATGACTGAGCAACCACCTCACAGAGAACATTCTCCTATATCATCTGAGAGGTAAGTGAAAACTGTAGTGTCTAGCTGTGAGGAAGGCACACTGATGGCCAGTAGTGGGGAGGAGACAACTCTAGGTACATCTACATCAACCTCCTATCTCACCAACCTACTGGCAGACACAATGACTGAGCAACCACCTCACAGAGAACATTCTCCTATATCATCTGAGAGGTAAGTGAAAACTGTAATGTCTAGGTGTGAGGAAGGTACACTGATGGCCAGTAGTGGGGAGGAGACAACTCTAGGTACATCTACATCAACCTCCTATCTCACCAACCTACTGGCAGACGCAATGACTGAGCAACCTCCTCACAGAGAACATTCTCCTATATCATCTGAGAGGTAAGTGAAAACTGTAGTGGTGTCTAGGTGTGAGGAAGGTACACTGATGGCCAGTAGTGGGGAGGAGACAACTCTAGGTACATCAACATCAACCTCCTATCTCACCAACCTACTGGCAGACGCAATGACTGAGCAACCTCCTCACAGAGAATATTCTCCTATATCATCTGAGAGGTAAGTGAAAACTGTAGTGTCTAGGTGTGAGGAAGGTACACTGATGGCCAGTAGTGGGGAGGAGACAACTCTAGGTACATCAACATCAACCTCCTATCTCACCAACCTACTGGCAGACGCAATGACTGAGCAACCTCCTCACAGAGAACATTCTCCTATATCATCTGAGAGGTGAGTGAAAACTGTAGTGTCTAGGTGTGAGGAAGGCACACTGATGGTCAGTAGTGGGGAGAAGACAACTCTAGGAACATCTACATCAACCTCCTATCTCACCAACCTACTGGCAGACGCAATGACTGAGCAACCTCCTCACAGAGAACATTCTCCTATATCATCTGAGAGGTAAGTGAAAACTGTAGTGTCTAGGTGTGAGGAAGGTACACTGATGGCCAGTAGTGGGGAGGAGACAACTCTAGGAACATCTACATCAACCTCCTATCTCACCAACCTACTGGCAGACGCAATGACTGAGCAACCTCCTCACAGAGAACATTCTCCTATATCATCTGAGAGGTAAGTGAAAACTGTAGTGTCTAGCTGTGAGGAAGGTACACTGATGGCCAGTAGTGGGGAGGAGACAACTCTAGGAACATCTACATCATCCTCCTATCTCACCAACCTACTGGCAGACGCAATGACTGAGCAACCTCCTCACAGAGAACATTCTCCTATATCATCTGAGAGGTAAGTGAAAACTGTAGTGTCTAGCTGTGAGGAAGGTACACTGATGGCCAGTAGTGGGGAGGAGACAACTCTAGGTACATCAACATCAACCTCCTATCTCACCAACCTACTGGCAGACGCAATGACTGAGCAACCTCCTCACAGAGAACATTCTCCTATATCATCTGAGAGGTAAGTGAAAACTGTAGTGTCTAGCTGTGAGGAAGGCACACTGATGGCCAGTAGTGGGGAGGAGACAACTCTAGGTACATCTACATCAACCTCCTATCTCACCAACCTACTGGCAGACGCAATGACTGAGCAACCTCCTCACAGAGAACATTCTCCTATATCATCTGAGAGGTAAGTGAAAACTGTAGTGTCTAGCTGTGAGGAAGGTACACTGATGGCCAGTAGTGGGGAGGAGACAACTCTAGGTACATCTACATCAACCTCCTATCTCACCAACCTACTGGCAGACGCAATGACTGAGCAACCTCCTCACAGAGAACATTCTCCTATATCATCTGAGAGGTAAGTGAAAACTGTAGTGTCTAGCTGTGAGGAAGGTACACTGATGGCCAGTAGTGGGGAGGAGACAACTCTAGGTACATCTACATCAACCTCCTATCTCACCAACCTACTGGCAGACGCAATGACTGAGCAACCACCTCACATAGAACATTCTCCTATATCATCTGAGAGGTAAGTGAAAACTGTATTGTCTAGCTGTGAGGAAGGCACACTGATGGCCAGTAGTGGGGAGGAGACAACTCTAGGTACATCTACATCATCCTCCTATCTCACCAACCTACTGGCAGACGCAATGACTGAGCAACCTCCTCACAGAGAACATTCTCCTATATCATCTGAGAGGTAAGTGAAAACTGTAGTGTCTAGGTGTGAGGAAGGTACACTGATGGTCAGTAGTGGGGAGAAGACAACTCTAGGAACATCTACATCAACCTCCTATCTCACCAACCTACTGGCAGACGCAATGACTGAGCAACCTCCTCACAGAGAACATTCTCCTATATCATCTGAGAGGTAAGTGAAAACTGTATTGTCTAGCTGTGAGGAAGGCACACTGATGGTCAGTAGTGGGGAGAAGACAACTCTAGGAACATCTACATCAACCTCCTATCTCACCAACCTACTGGCAGACGCAATGACTGAGCAACCTCCTCACAGAGAACATTCTCCTATATCATCTGAGAGGTAAGTGAAAACTGTATTGTCTAGCTGTGAGGAAGGCACACTGATGGTCAGTAGTGGGGAGAAGACAACTCTAGGTACATCTACATCAACCTCCTATCTCACCAACCTACTGGCAGACGCAATGACTGAGCAACCTCCTCACAGAGAACATTCTCCTATATCATCTGAGAGGTAAGTGAAAACTGTAGTGTCTAGGTGTGAGGAAGGCACACTGATGGTCAGTAGTGGGGAGAAGACAACTCTAGGTACATCTACATCAACCTCCTATCTCACCAACCTACTGGCAGACGCAATGACTGAGCAACCTCCTCACAGAGAACATTCTCCTATATCATCTGAGAGGTAAGTGAAAACTGTATTGTCTAGCTGTGAGGAAGGCACACTGATGGTCAGTAGTGGGGAGAAGACAACTCTAGGTACATCTACATCATCCTCCTATCTCACCAACCTACTGGCAGACGCAATGACTGAGCAACCTCCTCACAGAGAACATTCTCCTATATCATCTGAGAGGTAAGTGAAAACTGTAGTGTCTAGGTGTGAGGAAGGTACACTGATGGTCAGTAGTGGGGAGAAGACAACTCTAGGAACATCTACATCAACCTCCTATCTCACCAACCTACTGGCAGACGCAATGACTGAGCAACCTCCTCACAGAGAACATTCTCCTATATCATCTGAGAGGTAAGTGAAAACTGTATTGTCTAGCTGTGAGGAAGGCACACTGATGGTCAGTAGTGGGGAGAAGACAACTCTAGGAACATCTACATCAACCTCCTATCTCACCAACCTACTGGCAGACGCAATGACTGAGCAACCTCCTCACAGAGAACATTCTCCTATATCATCTGAGAGGTAAGTGAAAACTGTAGTGTCTAGCTGTGAGGAAGGTACACTGATGGCCAGTAGTGGGGAGGAGACAACTCTAGGTACATCTACATCAACCTCCTATCTCACCAACCTACTGGCAGACGCAATGACTGAGCAACCTCCTCACATAGAACATTCTCCTATATCATCTGAGAGGTAAGTGAAAACTGTATTGTCTAGCTGTGAGGAAGGCACACTGATGGCCAGTAGTGGGGAGGAGACAACTCTAGGTACATCTACATCATCCTCCTATCTCACCAACCTACTGGCAGACGCAATGACTGAGCAACCTCCTCACAGAGAACATTCTCCTATATCATCTGAGAGGTAAGTGAAAACTGTAGTGTCTAGCTGTGAGGAAGGTACACTGATGGCCAGTAGTGGGGAGGAGACAACTCTAGGTACATCTACATCAACCTCCTATCTCACCAACCTACTGGCAGACGCAATGACTGAGCAACCACCTCACAGAGAACATTCTCCTATATCATCTGAGAGGTAAGTGAAAACTGTAGTGTCTAGCTGTGAGGAAGGCACACTGATGGCCAGTAGTGGGGAGGAGACAACTCTAGGTACATCTACATCAACCTCCTATCTCACCAACCTACTGGCAGACAGAGAATAGTCTTAGTTTTTTGTTTGAGAAATACTGCCATTGTTTACTCCAGATCCAAGCAGTCTGGAGAGACTGCAGCATTGAGCTTTTATACATAAGTGATTTTACATAATGCTACAATTGAGTGAATCTTTTCAAAATGCAATTTTAACTTGATGTATTTAGACAAGCAGTTTTAATATATTAGGCTTAATAAAAAAAATTGTGTACCGGTTAATGTTCATTATTGTAATATCTTGATATTCTCTCTCTAGCCGGTCAGACATGATCAAAATTGGCTCCAGTGGACACACTTCTGGCGACGAGCTGGAAACTACAACCTCCTCGGATATCGAAATCATCTCAAGGTAAGATAAAATGTTAAGCAGCATTATACTTTAAAAATCTGCTTCAATTATACATGCCAGTGTTAACCCATGTTAGAGATTTAATGTTACAATTCATTATTGGGAACTAAATTCTCTGATTTCAATTATTTAAGAATTATAGTTCTTCAGTATTATCCTACAGAAATAAAAAGTTCACAAAAACTTGCCATTTTCTCTTACTTGTTGAAACAAAGTGTTTTGTTAAAATATGGGATTCCTAAAAAAACTTATTTTTGTTAATATTTACAGTCCGACCCCCAACGGTGACAGTAGCAGTGCAGCTTCCAGACAGAGCCCCGCCAGACTTAGCTGTCGTTCTAAGATGAGCCTTGTAGCTGGGACATCTCATCCTGAACATTCTCTCAGTAAAGTTTTTGCAGCCAAAGTCAAAGGTAAAATGTTTATTGTTCTATTGAGCAAACATTTCAAGATGTTTTTTTACCTACTGTGGTTTTATATCAGTACTCAGTGTTGGGACTACAGTTGCGCGCTACTTTTTTTTGTAGCGTTAGCTGTAGCTACGCTACTTTTAAGATTTTGTAGCTTTAGCCGTAGCTAGCTACATTTTTAAAGTAGTTGTAGCGGAATTTTAGCTATTTTTCTCGGTACATTAACATTGATTGAGATAGTGTTTTTTATCACAACCTTACGTGAAACAGCATCTTTCAAACTGAGATTTAAAAAAAAATTAGGCCTACTTTCTTGGCTTCATACAGCTGGTCGCAGCCGTTTCATTACCTATTACAACGTTGCGTGGACATGGAAGCTATTATCTGAGTGTTATCCACATTTTTGGGTTTTATTTCCTTCATTTACTTGTATACTTGAATTATTCATCTTTGACAGAACTAGTCCTATAGATTGTGTTAGAGGAAATTTCCTGATGATGAGATTTAAGACATGCCTAGACTACATAATAATTGTAACGAAAAAATTTCCATATAACATGAAACTTACATTGAGAAAATAGCATAGCTTGCTCCGGCTAACAGCTCTTGTCAAGGACTATTCCTAGGCTAAGTTATGTTATTGGATTAATACGATAACCAAGTTCAATTAATAGGATATATCTGTTAAGTCCTCATAAGAACAAGCCTACTATAGCCAACTTGTCACAAAGCCAAGTAGGCCTACATGTTATTTTTACTTTAAAATTTTCAACATGTTTAAATTTAAAAGCCGATTTCAGTATAAGTTGCTGAATACTGTTTTCTGCACCAATTTGAACAAATTTTGCACCTGTTGAAGCACAATTTGCCATTATGCATAATGACAATAAAGGACGATTTCTTGACAATGAAAAGTGTTATTCATAGAACAAGTAGGTGCAAATCTTGCTTAAGTAGGTGTGATAATTTCAGGGACGTATTTAAGTATCTGCCGCCTCTAGGCAACAAAGTTTGCCGCCGCCCCTCCCGCTCCCACTTTTCAACGCACTCCCCGACCTCACTAATATCACCCCAATGGCCAATGCATGCCCTGTCAGCTGGTTTTGTGGAAAAATAATCAGTAATATTGCATGCGGCATCAACAAATTTAATGACTTTTCACCACACTATGATGTTTTTAGCTGTTTTACATGCGTTAATTGGTGGCTGAAAGTTACGTTTTGCTGGCCATGCCAGCTGTCATCGTCATTTGGGGACCGACCTGGTTCTTACATCCCTAGGGCCGCAAAATCAGCTGATTACTTACTTTTTTAAACATGTATGCATATTAAATACACAATCAGTATCCATAGCATTGCAATAGAATTGTTTTATTGTCACCGCTGCCTAACAACTATTTATTTTAATTTTTGCTGATTCCTCAAATTATTTCTTCACAAAACCTTAAAGTTCTAGTTGTGTTGACTATCAGTGTGCATCATTATTGTGGTGAATTAAGCTCATGCTAGTGTGGAAAATGGCGTTCGTACCACGGACTGAAATGGTTTTGCAGCTCTCGATCGTTTTAGGTTGACTTCGTCTCGAACCTAAAAACTATCTCGAGCCGGCGAAACCTCATTTTCGGCCCTAGGTAAGAAATATACTATTTCGACCCCTTTTAACGGATGTTTTTTGTGCCGTTTTTTGCAAAACATTCTGAGTTGGATAGGCCTATACGGAAGGCACCATTTTTTTAAAAATCTAATCAGTATTTTTACAATCCCATTTTGCGGCTTTAAACGGCACACAAAATCGTCTGTGTACAATAGTTCTTATTACGCTTTTCATTGAACACTATTAATCAGATCCACTTGAGAGACGTGCTATTGGCTTTGATTTGAAATGAAAGAAGTATGTTTTCTTAAACTATTTTTTTCTTACAAAAAGCACATGAATCGCAAAGAAAAATTAGGTACTTTTACTGAAAGAATATTAAATAATTTTAAGTTAGTTAAGTTTGGTACAGTGGTAAGTATTTAGTTCACACTTTCCTTCTTGATTTTAACCTAGCAAAAGAATCTTTCAGCTATAGTGCTGTCGCTGCATAGTGGTGTATGAAGTAAACAGAAGGGAGTGTTTTCTACGTTTGTCAATACATAGCGGCCGGCACGGCGACCCGCTCCCGCGGCGAGCATGTCCGCCAGACCAATAGGGCAGCACGGACAACTCTACACATCTGTGTAATAAACTATTGACGTTTGTTTGACTTGGATGCGTTCTGAAATAGTTGTATACTTAATCAAAATATTTTGCCGTTTCAAAATTAATCCAAATAAATTATTTGCTAAATTTTTTTTAGATTAAAACTTTGTTTTTTTTATTTTTTTACCCTCAAAATTTTGCCGCCCCTAAAATTTGCCGCCCTAGGCGGGCGCCTAGTCCGCCTATTCGGAAATATGTCCCTGGATAATTTGCACACTCTCAAATAATCAAAACTATCCGAACCATTGGCCGCTTATACTAGGTGGGCCTTCCCACCAAATCTTTTGAAAGCAGGTGAACTTCTCATTAGCTCTGCCAATAATGGTACACCCAACACCCAACACCCCAGCACAACAGTTCTAAGCTCGTTTTCTAAGTTGCTCTCAGGCCAGGCACAGTTTTCAAGCTCACAAGTATAATTGCTAGTGAGATATTGTTACATTATTTTTCTCTTTATCAGATGTTGGAATAAAAAGAGTTTGAAACAAAAAGTAGGCGGAGGACCACTACTAATTATATTAATAATTATAACTGTGCCATCGACATTAATATTGTGCCTGTTTTGAGTGTTATATTTTTATTTGATTAATTACTTGCAATACTATCTTGCCTATTGAGAGTGATGATTTATATACAAATTCATTTGTGTTTTAGGACACCAAAGAGAATTATCCGAGGCCTCTAGTGGAGGTTCTGATGATGGTTCAGAAGTTGATAAACTACTCAAGGTGATATTCCAAGAACTGATACTATAAAATGTAGTTTAGTTTAGTACATACACTCTTCCAAAAGTTGTTTACAGTTTTGCTTTGGTCATTAAAAATCTTGTATTTGCTTAACAGGTTCACTACCAGCTGTCGCACTCCACTGTACGTAAGGTCTCCAGACACCCGGTAGTGAATGTGTTAAAAAACATCAGAGTTTTCAAGAATTTTTTGTGAGAGTTTAAAAATTTTAAGACTAGCCTATAATTTATAACTTAGATATTTACAAATTATTGTCTCTCAAAATACATCCAGTTAGACGTTCTTAACTCATTTATTTCTGTTTCCTTTCAGCGTATTTCAGAAATGACGGAAATCTTGGAAGTGAGGGAGGCCAAGTTGATAGATCTCAGCAGATTAAACTCAGACCTTCAAGAAACAAACGGTGACCTCAGGCGGTAAGTTGCATGGTTTAAGTTAATAATGTTTCATCTTTTATGGTTAGAAGCAAATATCACTTGTAAATGCTGGGGTAATTAATTTATGTAGGTACATTACTACTTATTTGGTCATTTGGCCAAGTTACTAGAAAATAGAAATAAAAAATATTTTATTGAAATGAAATACCGTATGTAATTTAAAATGTATGAGTCATTTGTATTTTTAACAATAATTACACCTTACGTTCATAATTTGTATTCACCATTATCGAGACTTGATTCACTGCAATCTGAGTATAAGATTTTAAAGCAATTTCTTTTTTTTTATATTCATGTTACAGTAGAGTCTCGATTATTCAACCTTCCTGGACAATCATCAGTCACGTCGTCATCTTGAACATATTCTGCGATCACGGTACCACCCTCAACATGCCCCACGCTTGTCCATTGTTGTAGGATGGTCAACACATCCTGTGATAACGGTGCCATTGTCAACACGTCTCACAGTCATGGGCACCATATTTAACATTATCCGCAATCAGGGCACACTTGTCAATATGTTCCACGCTTGTGGCACAATCATCAACATATTCTACAGTCACGGCGCTATCTTCAACATGTCTTGTGGTCACGGCGCCATCTTCCGCTATTACGACACAATTGTCAACATGTCCAACGCTCGCAGCACGATCCTCAACTCGTCCCGCGGTCACAGCGCCAGCTCGAATATAGTTTTTTTCTATTTTATTCAATTTTTTTGTTATTTGACCTCGTCACGTCCGATTTAGGTTGGATAATCAAGACTCTACTGTATTTTTGTAAATTTATTGAATTAGCTGTCTCGTTACTTTGGCTGAACTTAAAAAACTAAGTAAAAACTTGTTTAAAACTGTAGTTTTTGTTGAAGAGTTTTACTGAAAATATTGAAAACAAATCATTGAAATGGATGATTGAAAAACACAGCTTTATTAAAAATATTTATCTACTCAACTCCTAGTATTTACTAGCTAGTATTTACTATCAACCCTAATCACATTCCAAATTAACCACAGGCTTCCCTAGTCATTTTAAAAGTGCTATAAAATTCAATGAAAACCATAAGATTGGTAATTTCTTAAATCGGCAAATTATTGCTATTGCTATACTTGATGTGACAACATATTAGTAACAATTTTTACAGTCAGCTTGAAAGCGGTCTACAGAAACAAGATGTAAGCGAGTTGAGTGAAGAGTTTACTCAAAGGTTGGCAGCCTTGGAGCGGAAGTTCCAGCAAGCGATACGTGACAAGGAACTTCTACGGAAACAGCTTGAGGTATGATCATAGAATTGAGTTTTTTCATCAGTAGTAGGGAGATGTATTGTTTGTAAGTAACATAAAGTGCATGGGATTAGATGTGAGAGTAGGATTGGGATTTTCATTAGGTTAATTAAAATATGCAATCTGTGCACGGGCCCCCTCGATGCTCTTAAAACCTGTTAAACATTTTAAATTAACTTCTCCTTATATCCCACAGCAAGCCCGTGCGGCAGCCGCAGTTGCTGAGGAAGAAGCAGAGAAGGACCAGGTGATCTCAGACTTACGTGCCGAGGGAGAGAAACTCAGCAAACAACAGCTGGCACTCAACAACATCATCAAGAAACTACGAGCCACTGAGCGGGACAATCAGAAGACTATCAGCTCCTTGAAGTAAGAGACTGAGTGCTTTTAAATGGTTAAATCTAGGTTTATTTTACATTATTTTAAGCTCTTTCAGCTGCTTTTAGTGATGCCCAAAAACAAACAGAAAACAACAAGAAGTGTCTGGAGTGTCTGGAAGTTTCTGGAACCGAAGCAAAAACTTAAAATTAAAATTATTAATTGTTGCAATCTAAAATTGTAATCGGTAATTGTTGTTTTGCAAATACAGTAATACTATCCATATATGAACTTATAAATAAGGATTTATATTTAAATGGTCTCAAATAAACAGTTATACTAACTATATATGAACTTACTAGCAGAGTACCCGTCCTTCGTACGGGGTTGGAATATAAGTATAAAATGCTTATTGCAGTTATACTCAAGCTTTGCGATTGCAATAAGGGAGGACACAGTTTGATAAAATTTGCTTTTTTAAATTTACAGTATTCTATAGTATTACACATCTACCATAGCCATAATGTTCTACCACTTCACCTAAACAATTGAGAAAAATAAATTATCAACAATTCGCAAAATATCACAAATTATTCATGAAATGAAAAACATAAACATAACTGTAAACAATCCTACTTTGACAGTTCTCATTGTGAATCACAGTTTTTTGTTGGTGCTTAGTTCAAATCAGCTGTTTTCATAAATGCAAAAAATATAGTGCTGCACCCTGTTGGTAAATCTTATAACTTTTTAATGCTTTTCCATATCATAGAACCAACTTTTTTAGTTGAAACAGCTGACTAAATTCTTTAATTAACTTTAATTACCTTTAATCATATTTAAAGGTAATTAAAGAATTTAGTCAGCTGTGTACTCATAAGGTTAACATGGGGAATTACAGAGCCACTGGGGCGGAGCCCAAAAGGATTTTTGAGATGAATTTGCCTATATGTTAATCGGGAATGTAAGCTATCATCATGCCAAATTTCGGCCCAATCCGTCCAGTGGTTTATGCGTGATTGAACTTCAAACACACAAACTTTCACATTTATAATATTATATTAAGATAAGATAAGATAAATAAGGATTTATATTTAAATGTGGTCCCAGATCATAGGAAACTTCAGGTTTGGTAGTAAATCCCAGCATGACAAGAATAAACATTTAAAGACTAAAACCTTTTACCATGATAGAATTAGACATCCCATTCACCATGTTAAAACTGTGACAACTTGCTAGTTTTAAAATAAAAGCGTAGTTAAATTGAAGCACAGGTAGAGCGTGCTGAGGTCAATAATTAGTTGTTTGTATCCAATCTACCAACTTTTTCACCAACCCAAACTGAAAAGAAATCTTATTGCAAAGCAAATTATCACATGTTATTAACTGAATAGAAACTTCTACCCTCCTCGTGCTTGGTCCCCACAATGCAGTCTACTTCAGTACCCAACAGCCAGAACAACTCTTAACATTCTAACAGTCAGGCTTTTACAGGGAACAATTAGAAGAATGTACACAAGAAGTGGACAGAACAAAGAAGGCGTTGTCAGCCAAGCAGGATGTAGAGCGGTCACAGATAGAAGCTGTGCATCAGCTGACGAGGACCAACAATCAATTAGAGAATCAGCTGACTCAGCTACAGTCCCAAGTAGAAAATCTGACTTCAACCATCGTGTCTCTGCAAAAGTATGTAGACAAGTTTTTTACATTTATTTTACTCTAGAAGGGTTTTTTCCTGTTTTGTAAGAAAAAAGTTTGTAAAAAACCCATTTAATTGGTTATAATGACCAGTTAGTTTATTTGTTTTGATAGCTAAGGATTATGTAAGCTATGGAATGGAATCCATTACATTTTATTTTAGGTTCTCAATTTGTGATGTAATGTGGGAGAGGGATTGAAGAGCTATGATAGCCCAAATTTGTTGAAAATTAAAATTATACTCAGGTCGATGTGAAGTTAGTGTTGCAACATTGACACCAACAACAAAAACAATTTTACCGTGCAGTCATAATTAATGAAACGGAATACAACAAACTAGAGGTTGCCCCGTGGTCGAAAACTCAACCAAAAATATGTATTGTGGAAACTTCTCGATTTTCACCCCATGCTGTAAATAAAATATGTGATTGGAATTTATTCCATTTGTTTTGGTTTTCTGTTTATATTTCGTTGTTACTTCGTCACCAGCATAGCAACCCATAAGGCCCATGTTATTTATTTTTAATTTTTAATTAGTTTATTCTGCTTATTATTGAACCTATTTTAATTTATAAAGGGATTCTACACATCTACAGGCAAATATCTTTCTAACAGTGTGCGTACATTTTCCCTGTGATGCATATGAGCTGAGAAAAAAAGGTTTTAAGAAAACATGCTTGCCTATTTAATATATAGGATCCTTTATGTTAACATGCTGATCCAATGAGTTAATGGTGATCATGTTGGCTTCTAACAATGCATGATTTGTCGAAACCATAGATAAAACATACTCCCTTAGTAAATTTCTTATCCTTATAGAACAGCTGAAGACAATTTTTAAGTTTCTTGTGCCAGAGCAGACTATTTTCCATCCAGGCCATACAGGTAAGCCTGTTTCTTTTACAACGCTGTATACCTACCTTATCTCCTTGGCCACTCCAAGTAACAGTATACCGTGTGTTTGCAGGGAGTTGACAGACAGCAAGGACAGAGTGACACAGCTGCAGTTGTCCTTGAAGGAGGCCAAGTCAGAGGCAGAGGCGGAGGTGAGACGGAAGCTAGAGGGGGAGTGGGGGGAGGTGGCTGAGCAGAGAGACAGCTTGGAGGCTGAGGTGACATCACTGAGAGACAGACTGGACCAGCAACTGGAGCTGCATGACAAGTGAGTTTGGCTCTCACAATACCGAACTCTCCAAAGCTTGAATGAAATACAAATATTTCTCAAGGGGTGGAGTTGAGCGATAAATCACCTGAGAAAGTTATTGGGCAGAAGCGTTGGATTCACTAGATAGTTCATACATAACACTGTAAAAAGGCATATAGAACTAAATAAACCAGGAGGTTTTTTTAAAACACAAACAGATATTTTATACATGACAGTTTCAATTCCGAGGATGGTTTAGCTTAATGAATCTTGGTGAGTTGCAATTATTTGTTTTGTTTTGTTGTTAGTGTTTATGCCAATGTAAACTGATGTAAAAGAAGGAAAATCAGTCCTCTAGTTGTGGATATGCCTGGGATTGCACTTAAACTGCAAGATGCTTGCCATAAAGCTAACAACACTCACAGTTTGTTAATTCCTTCATTGTTTATTTATTCATTGTTTCTTGTAACCTCACAGTTGTGAAATATATGCTGCCCATTCAAAGAACTCTAATAGAGTTAACTGACTGGTCTTGCTTTCTGTAATAAATAGTTTACTTAATCAAATGATGTAATATTTTTTAAACGTTTTTTTCAACCAACTTTAAGTTTTGGTTTATAATTAAAAGACAAACTCAGTATGGTCTGCACACAAAACCAGTATCTAGTTGTTACCTGCTGTATATCCATATTTTGAATTTGAAGTCTCAAATATTTCTTAATTAAATTACTTGTCTATTGTCTATTGTTTGTAAAATCCTATATTGATAACTAACACGTGTAATTGTTGGGTAGAGAGGTGCGTGAGTTGCGCACACAACACACAGAGTTGCTACGCAGGCTGGAGACTGCAGGGGCTGCGGCTGAGGAGGTTGCGCAGAGTGTGAGTGCAGCCACGCAGCCACTGGTGCGGCAGATACACACACTCACTGCACAGAACTCTCAGAACCAGGCAGCATGGGAAAGACAGGAACGCAGCTTGTTGCAGCAGATCAGTAAGTCTGCTTGGTTATTTAGTTGAATGTTAGATATATATATAAATTAGTTTAATATTTGATTTGAAATAGATTCCATTCATTTATGGAAACTGTGTCTATTGAACTTGTGCAAAACGCAAACTACCAAACAAACTTCTCCCGTACTATAATCCACTTTTCTGCTCTTGAAAAACCCAAATTTTACAAAGCTGTTTTATAATAATAATTATTGTTAAACTTAGCGGTTTTAATCTCTGGTCAACGAGTAATCGAATAAAAACATTTGCAAACTGGCACACTTAAAATACATACCATATTACCATGGGTTTTTTATTGAAGCAAAGTTATTCAACCTTAGAAACTCTCTAAAACATTTTGATGTTCCCAATAAATATGGAGGATGTTCAGTAAAGTAACACATGATTTTAGCAAAATACTCAGAAAAAATTTGATACAAACAGTCAGTTATGTAAACAGTTTTTTTTTACAGTGTTTTATAGACTAATTATTAAATTATTTATGTGCTTTATAGTAATTGTAGGAAAAATATAATGTGTAACACGAGTTCAAACTACCTTTGCTGCACTCGAGAAACTTTCCAAACTCGCCTACGGCTTGTGCGTAAACATTTATCTTGTGTGCAGCAAAGTGCCACTTCACACACTAGTTACACAATTTATTCTCCATGATAATAACTTGGGAGTTTTGAATTTACAGTTTTTTTGGAATTTCCTCCTTATAAGCGCTTCCTAAACTATTTTTTTTTTTTTTACGTTTTTCGGTTAGGTTAAATCCAAACATTGAACTGCACCTGCTTATATCTTTAAGTCTTGCCAACTTATTTTCAAGCTTACAGTACTACGTGCCTAATAAAAGCATGCTGTTTCGTAGGAATACTGGTGTAAGTAAAAAAAAAAAAAAACTATGCGGCAAAAGTAAGTAGATGCAGCAATTAGCAACTTTCTGTGCTATAATCAATGCAAGAAAGGCCAATTTGTCAGGTGACTGTATGAAAATATTGTTGGAGTTTGCTTGTTTATGAACATATTTTGATCAAATTTGGAATTATTTTTTATTTCATACTAAACAATTACACTAAAAAAAAAAAACACTTTACTACCTTCCCTGTAGCATCAAACTTAAGTACTCGTTAAGCTAATAATATATATGACATTTAAAGTAGATATTTTAGTTAAAATCCAATCAGGAAATTGGAAATTTGCTTAGCTTAGTCTGCAGGTTTTCTGCAAGGGGGGTATTTACCATTACTATCAAATTTCAATCTAAACACACAATACAACTTTTGTCAGATGAGCTTCAGTCGCGAGTGACAGGCTTGGTGGAAGCAGAGAGGGGGCTGAGAGAACAGCTGATGACGGCCACCAACAGAGGGGCTGGACTGGAGGCCAAACTGTCTGCGGGTCAGAGAGAACTGGAGGCTACCCAGGGACTGTTGACAGAGGCCAAGGACAAACTGCAACTAGCAGAGAGAGAAAAGGACAGGTAGCTCACTTTTCATATTTACTTTGTCTGTTATTGCCTATCAACATATTTATGATTTGCTTTAGTCTTTGCTTCTATGTGACTAACCCTGGATTGTTGACTTCAGACTGGTCAAGGAACATGAGGAGAGTCTGAAGCAGCTGCGTAGTGAACTGTGTGAGAGTGAGAGAGACAGAAGGAGTTTGGAGCAGCAACTGTCTGTGGAGAGAGCTGCTCTGGAGGCTGAGAGGAGAAAGACTGCGGCATTGCAGGTAGGAACTGTTCAATGAACGATTCAGCTTGGCGAGTCAGAACAAATTTACTGGTAGGCATACTAAATTTATTCAAAGTAATCTCAATTACATTTTAAAATAAGACTAGTGTACATGTTGCTCGAAATCGAGCAGTTGCAAAGAAGTAAAGTAGTTATTTAAAAACAAATAACTTATTTAAAAACTAATAAAAGTCATAATTTCCGATGAGTTTAAAACAGTCAACTCATAGATGATGTACCTAACAGTTCCAACATTTCTAATATTCAACATTTCTTGTAAATATTTTATCATTTTTCAAAAGCTGGTCTGCTTTTTTAGTATATTCTACAAATATTTCCCACTTATAGCTGCATTATGTTGTCCATGTTGATCTTTGTCAATGATAATGTAGTCTGCATGATACTATACCCATTGTCGCCAAACGTTAACAAATTTCAATCATTTTTGTATAGCGATAAAATTTTGTTTACATTTCTTAAGAACTGCCTGATTTCCTGCATAACCTCGCTATCAAAATTGTATTTGCTTCAATGGGCAATAATTTGGCTAGTTACTGTTATAGCGTAACTACACACATACAATTATCAACGTACACTCACACTCAATTATATACGTGTATACCCAATGGTTATACATACCTGAAAAAATGCAGAATTGAAAGGCCTAATGTTGTTCAGATGGTTTTTTGTTTCCCTTAAATGTGAAAAATGCAGATTCTTTAATGAAAGTTTTACTAAGGTTTCTTGGATGTAGTCATATTATTCTAAAATCACTTGACTTTTATGAAAACATATATTTAATGTCCTTGCCATACCAGTTTAATTCAGCCTTAGAGTGTTTTCTTTTGCCAATCATCATAAAGTTAAGGGTGCGCTCTACCCGTCTGGCGCGCGCAAATGTAAGGGTTTTAGTTCTTCCTGATTGTAGCCCCAATTGTGAACCGATTTAAAAGATCTTGGTGTCATATTTTCCGTCAAATGTTAATGTAGGTTTCCCGTTTTTTTAAATTTTGATAATTTAAAAAATTTTGGGCTCAAAGGTTGGTGAAAAATGTAAAAAGAGGCGTTCTTTATAATGAGTTTTAATACATAAAAATAATTTTTAGAGAAAATTTAAAAAACGGGAGACGTGCAATAGATTCTTAAAAACAAGAATCTGGAATTAGTTTACTAAAAAGTTGAATGCTAACTATGTAATCACGCAGACTCGAAAGGCTTGCAAGCGCTCTTCAAGGCGCCGTGCAGTGGCGCGGCCATGCGGCCAACGGCTCAACCTGTCGTCGGCTCTCCCACCACAGCCATCGATCGATATTTCCCCTCCTCTCGGTTGATTCTATTCTATCTTTGCGTCGTCGCCGTTTTTACGCATACTAGTGTCCCTGCTGCTCGGATTAATTGTCACAAAAAACCTGCTTGCGTATTAAATAAGTAAATAGATGAGTATACTGTCCTCTTTGTAAACAGTTATACTCAGCCAACGCAACTTGCTTGCACAGATTCAGCTTTAATACTTTACCAAAATATAAGTTTGTTTATTAACGTCGGGTATGAGATTGCTCTAATAACAACCATAATAAAGAGTTTTTTTAGAAAACCAGTACTCAATAGTACTGTTTTATTAAAACAGCATTTTTAAATTTTTGTAATTAACCCCTCCAAGTTGGGGACTTGAATCTGATACCTCAAATGTTCTTGCTAGACTATTGACCACTCAGCCATTCAACTTCAAGTTAAAAACCACTACAAGTCATAACTCGGGTCTACAAATAAAATACCCTGTCGCAGCAAAACTATTCACAAAGCAAATTTCAACTTGTATGATTAAAGTATTTTTACTAAAATACTTCCAGAAATAAGACAAACTTATTCCTATTTAAATAACATTAGATTTAACGAGTGCTTAGGTGTGCTGCTACGGGGAAGGTAAAAAGTGTTTCTTGACCATACGTCACTTGTAATTCATTATATACACTTGCATAGTGTTGCACTTGTTGTATACTGAAATTAATGAATTTGCCAAATTTTATCAACATACCGTGTATCCATAAACAAGTAAATTAAAACGGTTATAATTTTCTCCATAAGAATAACATGGTAATTTTTAACAACACTTTTTTCAATTTTCTTCCTGACCGTAGGCATACAACAGCGCTTCAATATACTAAATTACTCTGCACCGAGGGGTTTTAAGTGGCTAAGGCCTTATACTGCTCTACTAGGCTACAACCTCAAAATCCCATCCCCATCCCCAAAACCATGGCGCAGAGCCGTCTGCGCATGCGCGCGCGCGGGAAGATGACAACTGAGGCGACTACCTAGGCGACTACCACGACCTAGTGTTTCTCACTCGCTTGCACACTTGCACTGATTTTCACCGTGTTTTGAGTGTATGTACAAATGTATTTTACCGGAACTGGTAGATCCAAGGTATCCTAGGGGACTTCCTGTTAGGGACAGATTTTAAGCCGTCACCAGCCGTTAGGCCTACTGTGTTGGATTTTATTTTGTAACATTTATATAACGTGAATGTACTCAGTATACTAGCTCTTTTTGTAATATTTATTTTTCATTATTAGCTTTGCAATATGCAATTTTGTGTACAAATATATTTCTCGTCATTCTACTCTCGTTTTATAGTACCTTTGACTCCGAATACAAGTATCCAATAGTCAATTATATTACCGAATTGTTGCCAAAGTCCTCTGGTAATACCAGATGTTTATTTCCAGATTTACTTTGTATACAAACAAGAGTAAAATTCAACATTTACTGTTCAATATTTATTAGTTACTATAATTACTTATGAATATTTAATTCATAACTAACTATTATACAGTATATATCCATATATAAAGTTTCTGGCATTTAATTATCACAATACACATTAAATAGTCATTACATTACGAAGGATGGGTAACTAAATTTACAAGCGTATGTTGTAGCGTATGTATGTAACAGGTTGCTATGACGTTTTTTGCGAGATAACATTAAAAAGGTAAACAAGACTCGCCACGTATGTTAGTCAACGAATCGTCTAAAAAGTACATTACCGTATAGGACACAGAAAAAGGGAAGAACAATCATATTTATATTATTGAGCATGGATTTTTTCTTTATGTGATAAAAGATGCTATAAAAATGAAGTTTTCATATCACCATTGCCTTTTTTGTAAACATTAATTACATAATTATAATCCCCAAGAATGTGTGAGATACCGACTGATTCTGTGCCCATTACGGTGTAGCTACAGTTGGAATAGAGGTTAAATAATAATGAAAATCTTAAACATCAACAAAAGAAAATAAATAATTATAACAGTTGATTAAAAAAAAACTTAAGATTACTATAATTTAATGTAGTGATACTTTACAAAGTATAACTAAAGTATTTTATTTTTATTCAATAATGACAAACAAGACTCAATATTTAGGAATGTTTTACTTTTTACTGTATAAGCTTATGGGAGCGATAGCGAACGTCACGTTGCTGCCAGTGAGTGTCGGTGGCAGGGCATGATGGAGGTTTGAACAGAAGCAAAAGATATGCGGACGCGCGAATAACAACCTGGTTGCGCTTGCACGTGTGTGCGTCGGGAGCTCCGCAGGGCACTGCACTGCCTAGCGGGGAGCGGCAGTCAACTCGCGAACCTCCTAGCTCCTCCCACCCCTTCCCCTCCAACTGGGTTGAACCGACACGGCGCAGTCTGGCGGACACTTCGAACATCGTTCTGAGATTTCCGAGCTGAGGTAGAGCCCACCCTTAAGTCCGTGTTTCCTACAAAATAGTAACACTTCGGCTAACATCCTTGTTCATTGTTTGTGGGAATCTTCATATTTTAGGTGTTCTTCATTATGTAGGATGTAAAATATATCAAATTGCCTAGGCTTTCTCGATTTTTTACATTGTAAATTAAAGTAGTAAATATTTAATTTCAACAAAATCAGTAAATAATGTACCCAATGCGTTTTGTTGAATTGAAAAATAAATAACAGCAATTAACTTATGCAGCTGATCAAAATGTAAACAATTATGTTCTTCATAAGGATAACATGGGAACTTTCAAAGCCACTGCGGCTGAGCCCAAGGGACTTTTTCAAAAATGTAAGGCCAGTTTGCAAATCTACGCGACACGCTCTTTCCAATGAGACGTTAATGGAAAAAATCGGTTAAGAAATGGCGGAGGAGTTCAATCGACAAAGTTTCATGTAGCGTATTAATTATATAGATACTGTTTGGTTAAGATGGCTTTTGACTAGGTTTTCACTTTTCAGGATTTATAGGTTAAGATTTGATCAGCAATTGTTCAGTTAGTGATAAAATTGCAATTAGTCAAAATCCTCTTATAGACTCTTATAATTATTTCCCATTAAATACATTTTAATAATATCTTTTGTGAATCAATTAAAAAGAAAACTTGTCAGATTAGAACAATTCAAATTGCTATTTAATGAAGCAATTCACTTTGGTAAAAATCAGCAAAATAAAAATAATAAATATTTGCTTTGAAAAACTGGGCATTATTTGGTGAACATCATTGTAAAGCTTATACAGGGTGTCCCGGAACTCTCTACCAATATTTTAGGGCATTGCTCCTGGGTAAGAAACATACCTAAATATCATATTTAAATTGTCCGGAAGTCCTTAGTTACTCACACAGCCGCCATTTTGTTTTTTTTCAGTTATACATTTTTTTTTATAAAGAATGGTTAAACATACGAAATGGAAACTTTGCACAAACATTTATGACAACTAGACAAAGCTACAAAAAAATTATGACGATTTTTCAAATTCATAAAACAAAATGGCGGCCATTTAAAATTTTGTCTCTTAATTAACTCAAAAACCGTTGATTTTATAACAATTTTAAATGGTCGCCATTTTGTTTTGTGAATTTGAAAAATCGTCATAATTTTTTTCTAGCTTTGTCTAGTTGTCATAAATGTTTGTGCAAAGTTTCCATTTCGTATGTTTAACCATTCTTTAGAAAAAAATGTATAACTGAAAAAAACAAAATGGCGGCTGTGTGAGTAACTAAGGACTTCTGGACAATTTAAATATGATATTTAGGTATGTTTCTTACCCAGGAGCAATGCCCTAAAATATTGGTAGAGAGTTCTGGGACACCCTGTATAATTTCCCCAGCCAGGTGACAGCTAGGAAGTATTTAGTTAGAGTGTGGTTTTCAGTGGGATTCTTGGCTGTAATATTCGCTGTTTTGCATGTTTGTGTCACAGGAGCAGACAAAGATGCGAGGTCAGTCTCCCCCCACCACTCCCCGCTCTTCCCCCACCCTCAGTCTAGGAAGGTTGTCTGTCTGTGACTCAACAGCAAGTAACATGTGGCCAGGAGTGAGTATTGTGTTATTGTATTCAGTATAATAGTTTCTCCTATAACAGCTTTCTCCAATGAGAAGTTATAACCGGTGTTATGGCAAGGTGTTTGTGTTATGTGTGTTTTACAAGGTAACAATGGAACTAACCAAATTGGATAGATGGCCTGATGTATTGGATGTGGCGATAGACTCCAGAAGTCTGAAACCATAGAAAATAGAAGTGTATTAGATTTACCTTTGTTGTTTCCTGAGTTCTTGTAGGTAAGATGTTATGTTATGCTAATATATTATTCTTGTTTTTATTATGTCGTCTTATGCTACTTGTTCTGATTCCCTCATGATTCTGAACAAAACCCACTCAAAACTTAAAACATAACCATTAGCAAAAGTACAAGAAAGCTACCAAATATACAAACATATACAAAACAAATGTACAAATATATATAAATGTATTGAAACACCCTCTTAAACAGAAAATGAGACTACACCAGCTCTACAATTTATTAAATGATATTGAAACTAATAATTCCTGGAAACACAGGGACAAACAGGCAACACTGCATTGATCAAAGCACCCGGCCGATCATAAACCAGAAAAGTTCAAAAACCCTTCGAACGGTCCAAATTTAAATTCCAAAAGCCGCAGTCCAAGAAATGAAATGGAGGAAGAAAGACCTGCCGTGACTCCGCAGCATGTCCGTTGACACATTGTCCGATCGACACGACCGCAATACTAGTGACCGCCTGTGTGTAAATATTTCTGTTAATAATACAATATAGACTATATTCATATTGAAAGTGATAATTGGATTAAGAAGACCCCTGAAGATGCCACACAAGGTGGAGAAATGCATAGGGTGACATAAACACTTTTACCGACAAGAACTCAGGTAAATCTAATAATAATATCAATACGATTCAAATTCTTGAAACTGGGATGACAAAAAATATGTTAACAGTAGTGTACTACCACAAAGGATCACTCGACAAAGCAAGGTAACTAAAACCATTTTGCTTGAATTCATTTCAATTAAATTCGTAAAGACAACGACACTCACGTCACAAACGGCTTTGCTTTGTATTTTAGGCTGAGTATGATAAAGAATGAGCGTTGAATGGAGTGGGTAGATCTGTGTGGATTTTTCAGCTTTAGCTAACCCCTTTAATATAATCCCTTTGATCGAGGTAAGCTATATCCAGTATAAACCAAAAAAAAGCTTAACATTTTTAAATGTTGAACCATAGCAATAACAACTATAATGATAAAGTAGTGTCTGTGGTCAGTTCTTAATCAGAAATTGAGAAATGTCTGGCATCTCTGCCCAAGTCACCATGTCCACCGCTGAGCTAATGTTTTACTATATATTTCTAAATAATAAGTACATTAAGTGACGTTAAGTTCTAGTTCTAAAGCATACTACAGTAATTACAAGAATATTTTTCTACAAATCTAACTCACTTGTTACACATGTAGCGTGATACAATGTTGCAGTTTGGAGACGATGTGTTTGAGACGGCCTCCATGAGTGGAAGGATGAGTGTGTACGACAGTCTGCGGCCTGGGAACACCACCTCTCTGCTCGAGGGACTCCAGGCTCAACTGAAGCAAAGAGAAGGTAAACAAACTTACCATGTGATCCACCAGTTGCCTCAGAACCAAGATTAATGTTCCTAGTCTAGTCATAGATGAGATGTACCTGCTCGTAGGGTGATTAGTTGGCAGCACTGTCTTTACTTCACTGCTCTTGATTGTACAGGTGAAGTACACCAACTACAATGGGAGTTGTCCAGGAGAGAGGTAGAGAGGGCAGCACTCAGCAATGAGTTGGCAGCCCTGACTGGCCGTGTGGAGGTGCAGGACAAGCAGTTGGCAGCACTATCCACACTACAGACAGAGTATGATGCATTGCTGCTATTGTATGGGGAGAAACTAGAGGAGAGTCAGGAGCTGAGAATGGACCTGCAGGACGTCAAGGATATGTACAAGACTCAGGTCAATGTCAATTGCATAACTATTGTCAAATCCAGTATTGGATTTGTAAAAAAAATTTAACGAAACTGTAACCTATTTAAGGTAATTTGTACCGACAGTTTATGCCAATATTTTTATCTTTCTTAAAGGGAGGTACGGGAACTCTGTTCCGCCGCGTTCCCCAACAAATCAAGCACTGGTCAAATCAATCTTTAATTTTTTTAAATGCAATGCTTCGTTTTAATCTTTGATTTTTCCCATTTCTATATATAGGTTCTAGTCAGGTTGTTAGTTACAGAAGTTGAATTGAACTGCCAACAGAGTGTGAATAACAGATTTGTATGAAATACACCATCTTTTTAATCATAATTTAAACAAATGGATTCAAAATGCGATCAAATAATGATATCCGTAACAAAAACCTAGTTAGCATCTTAATTTGTAATCTTTTACAAAATGGACTAATGTGTGTAACTTTGAATTCCATGTTTACAGATCGATCAACTGTTGAAGAAAGAAGAACCAAGTACATGATGTGTGGCTCTTTAAGTGGCCTTTGTCTGTGATAAACCAAAAGATTCCTAGCTTGATATATAGTGATGTACATAAAGTGATTTATTGTATTGTGTATTATACCTGTATTATTATTATGTTACAAATTGTTGAGTTTTATTGTGAGTTGTTAATTAAATAAACGTGTTGGTTGGATCACTGCAAGACACACACAAGTTTTAGCTGATTTGTAGTTGACAATTTTTACTAATTAGGATTGTTTGCACAATATTATGTGAAAATTATGCTTTTTAAGTGGTCTGCAACAAAATCCACCACCAAAAAAATATTGCTGTTATTAGTTTTTCCCGCAGTTTAAAATGTAGGGCATGAATAATGGTGTAATTTTGAATTAGAAAATAACATATACAGAGTCTCCCGTAAGTAAACAGCCAATCTCGGGGAAATGGTTCTATGTGTCAAAATAAAGAGAAAATTGAGAATAGCATTTTTCCAAAATTGCTTTGTATACCAGATATCCGCAATTTGTTTTTATACATAAATATTTTTATATTTGAAGTTTTTTAACCAAAGATTATGAAACTTCATGTTAACATATTCAATACCTATTGTAGGAAAAAATACCCCCGCCGCAGCAAACCTGCAGACTAAGCGAATTTCCATTTGACTGATTGGATTTACACTGAAATGTCTACTTAAAAATATAACATTTATTCTTGATTTAAATAGAATTAGTTTAACAAGTACTTAGGTTTGCTGCATCAGGGAGGGTAAAACTGTTTTTTTTTTAATGTGAATAGTTTCGTAAGAAATAAAAACATTTTTCAAATTTGATCAAAATATGTTCACAAACAAGCAAAGTTTACTTATTCTCCATAAGAATAACATGGGAATTTTAAATTTAAAATTTTTTGGAATTTTCTCCGTAACAATTAGGCGCATAATAACGCTTCAATATACTAAGTTATTTGTTTTTTTAAGCTCTACAAAATGGTTTGGAAAGAAATTGCAAAATTTTATGTTTTTTGGGTCAAAAATGGGAAAAACCTATTTTTACCCCATAAAACCCCTCGTAAACCCCCGTTCCCATGGTCCGATCATGCTGGATCGCGAACTCGTTCGAATAAACGTACGTTTACACGTTTGTACCAAATTTCATCAAAATCGGATCATTTTTGCTCGAGTTATCGTGCTGACGGACATATATATATAAATATATAAATATATAAATATATATGTATATATGAATTTGAACGGATGGTGTTTTTGGCCTCTAGGGACCTCAAAACGAAAAAAAAAATCGGTCCCGCGTCCAGGTCTTACCATGAGTACTACGGTAATAGCTTATTTTATATGGGAAATTCGCTAAAATAAAGTTGGTCAGATTAGAAATTACAAAATGGCAACCCTTTTAATTTTTATAAATTAAATAACTCAAAGACGGCTAATTTTATGAAAAATGTCAAGAACACTTTTTTTAGCACTTATCCCTATCAAACAACACCAAGATAAAAAAAAAATGGATGACGAATAACTGGAATAGAAAGTTTTTTTAGTTGTTAGATAAGACAAAATAACATGCACCCTGACTAACGCAACCCATAGATAAAACATACTCCCTTACGTCTATAATGGTTCTAATATAAGTTAATTCCGAGTTCTGAAACTGGTATAGCAACAAAAAAGGAAAGGGTATTTATTTGGTATATATGCATCTAAAAGAATTTTTAATTTTGATATCTTACTTTACTTTATAGTTTTTTACCTCCTGAATCCAAATATACCATAATTATTTTTCACCGCTGAAGAATATTTCTCAAGATATCGCTGTAAAAGTATACAACATTACAATAAACAATTAAGGTAGTATGGATGACTTTTACAAGTGTAGAATGAACTGTGAGTTAACTAAGCCTACCTGACTGTTTTCAACCAAACGACAAGCAACTGGAAGAAACAACTTTTGAACTTTATTAACACTTATAAGTACACATCGGTCAATCTGAGGGATGGGAATTTTTACGCTTTGAAATTGGCAACACTGATTAATTTTCGTGCTTACTACTCACAATACCTCCCTCCCTACCCTCTGGTAGAATATCAATAACTTTTACCCAGAGGAGCGCCTGGGGTGTACGTTTTTTGTTTTGCTGGTTGGTCAGATTTACCGGGTGTGTTCTATACCGTTACCCTACTGTCAGTCAAAGTGACCATATGTGTTATATAACGTAGACTGTGTTGAATGTGTCTTCATCTTTTTTAGTGATATAGTTACATTTTCCGAGTTGTCTTATCAGCATACAATACAAACGCAATGGTCTTTGTAAAAATAGTTAGTAATAGTTTTGAGTATATGTTTACGTACAATGGACCGACCTACTACACGTAAATCTTGTAGTACATCATGGACAGTGGATGATCCAGAATTTGTTGAACAAGTACGCAAGATGTTAGAGGAAGATAAAGAAACAAAGATGATCCAGATAAAGTGGGCGATGTTGGCTCCATAGTGGAAGACTAAGACGCTGACCCTGACTACTTGATGCGTCAAAGTGAGGAAGAGGATTCTTGTTGTTAATAGTATCAATTATCAATTATTTTAAGATGGGGATGCCACTATGTGCGTATTCAAACCCAAGTATGAGTGAAGGATGAGTGGCGCGATCTTGTAGCTTGTTAGTGACTAAGGCCGACATGTTCCTTAGACACAGCTGTTAATTAATAGCCAATACAGCTAATGGCAACTAAGGGACCTACAGTTTATAGTGGAATCCGAACCACATTTTTTCCTTGTAATTAACGAATTGGTCTAATTATCAGTATAGTACTGCGGATAGTCGTCGTACTCACTAGTGCGGACGTTAATCCACACCAGGGAGCATCGCATCCACGGTGCATGCCTATAAATATCCACAATTGGTGACCTCCTAGTAGCTGGATTACAGGACGACGCCACCAGTCCCAGTCTTGGACAGTAAAGAGGAAGGGACTGGTGGCGTATATTATAGTATACAAGTTATAGTAAATAGTATAGTTAATAGTAATTATTAGTTATGCAAATAGTATTTAATAGGTAATTACTAATTAACTGAAGGTATTTGTTCATGTGAATGTTTGTTTATTAATACAAAAAGTAAATTTTCAGTATAAACAAGTATCAATAGTAGTACCTATCAAAAATGTAATAAATATTTCTTAGGTAATTTTAAATAAACTGCATTACCGGTAATTCATTTTAATATTCGTTTTACTTTTAATACCTTAATATACATTTAGACCCATTGAAAAAGGTAAAAACTCACAAAACCGTCAAAATGACCTGATGTGTTCCTGACCAGTTCCCACATATCCCACAGAGATTCCAGGATTTGAGAATGACCCTAGGATCACTCTAGGACATTCCACATATCCCATACCAACAAATGCATTTTGGGGTTTCCTTGGAACTTCCTATGGATATTCTCGGTATGCTACATTAAAACATATTTTGTAGTATTAGATGTATTTTTTCAAGTGACAAGTGCTTGAGAAACTTAATTTAAAAGGATTTTAATCTTATTTAGAATTAACAATAACTACCAATGATTTATAAAAATTAATCAAGTTTTCCGATCATATCCATAGGACATCCTTTGGAGATCTGTAGGAATTCCCCGTGTGGCACAGCTCCGCAGAATAATTATCCAGACTTATTTTGTCTGAAAAGTGCTAGACTTGCCACGGGGCAAAGTCTAGTGAGCGAGAAAAAAAATCGGTAAAAAATAAAATATCGGGACTCGATCGTATGAGGAATTGAAAGAAGCCATCGCTGTTTCGAAACAACAACCGAGTCAACCGATATGCTAATTTAATCTCACACGGTCGAAAGTCCCGCCAGCACGATATCGTCGCTTAGTGCTTTTTGGTTGAAACGCGAACAACGATATATCGTTCCATAGCACTTTTCGGGAAAATGACGCACAACGATATATCTTTGCATATCACTAAAAGGGTTAAAAGGTCTGAAGAAAAATTGATATGATAAATTTTGTGTTTTAAGGGTAAAAAATGAGAAAAACCCATTTTTACCCTATGAAACCCCCCCCCCGTTCCTTTGGTCCGATAATGCTGGTTCGCAAACTCGTTCAAGTTTATCCCGCCTTACACCTTCAAACCAAATTTGATCAAAATCGGATAAAAAATGGACACACACACATATAAATATGATAAAAAATTTGAAAGAATGGCGTTTTTGGCCTCTGGGGACAACAAAATGAAAAAGTAAATCGGTCGCGGGGCCTAGTAGGTCTTACCATAAGACCTACGGTAATAGCTACTTCCCTATAGGGGAATTCGCCAAAAAGTAAACTGATGAATTAAAACTGTGTGATGCATTTCTTCATAATCATTGAAATAGCCGATTTGCAAACTATGGAAACATATAGGAAAGTCATAGAACACCACAAAGGAAAAGAATGTTTATTTTTTTTGTAATTTATAATCGATTATGGACAACCTAATACGGCTATAAGTAATGCTTTTTATAGAAAACACTATAAAAAACAAGCTTTTGACAACGTCATCTTTTGAAAAATGATAAAATATTTACAAGAAATGTTGATTATATCGGTCTGTTATGTACATCTTGAGTATTTCCATAATCTTCAGTCGAATCTTTTAAAGGCATCAGAAATTATGAATGTTATTTGTTTTAAAATAAAACGCTTGTAATACTTAGCAATTACTCAAATTCAAGCAACAGTTGCACTAGTCTATTATACAACCTCGTTCAACCAACCAAATAAAACGATCTTATCATAATTACATCTCACCCCCTTGTTATACATAATTATAATTAAGCACAAATAATTATGAAATCAACCCTAAATTAATAGACTTTCAAAGACACTAGCGCCTATAGTCACCATCAACAACTAAGACACAAAAAAGAGCTCCAAGTCTTACATAACAATGGGCTGAGGAGTCTTTAAGGCCAGTCCGGCCCACGTTGTAGGAAAACATCACAATTGAAGGGAAATATAGCATGGATCATGTATACACGTAACTCATTGAGTTACGTGTATACTCAATGATATAACTTTACAAACCTTATGGTAATG